AAAGGAGTGTGATTTAGTCTAGTGGCTTACAAATTCTAGGATTATACTTCTTCATAAATAAAAAGAAATCAGCAAATGTGATATTGTTATTATCATTCTTCAGGAGATCAAATGCTCTATGCAGTGCCTCTCTGTGTTAAAACTGGATAAAAATTATGCAGCATAGAATCATTACCTTTTGTGTAGATAAAGTTTTTTATACTTTTTCTTTTCAGCAGTTTTAAATTTAGCAAACAATACAGCCAGTAACTGCATGTAAAATGAACTTCAAAAATATATAAATATTGTAAAAACTCACGACATTGTTGAAGTAATAGAAAGTCACAAACATGTATACCATGAAAAATATTGGAGCAAAAGGACTTTCTAGGTATGCTTCCATGAAAACATCTGGATGGCTATGAAAAATTAATAAATATTATTGTACTAATAATCAATAATGAGCTTACTTTGCTGTTGTGAGAGTCACAATCATACTAATCACGCTTATTTTTAAACCATGGAAATACTAGGAAATAAAGCCATAATGATCATCAAAAATTAATATTCAGTCACTCACAGTAGGATTTATGTTTGTAAAGAGAAAATATCCTAAAATAACCAAAATAAAACAATAAATTAATACCAAGTACATCTTACCAACTAAAGCAAAAACTGCAACAAGAAAGAAAAGGACCAGCATTACATCAATAATGTACTTGAGACATTGAAATATCTGTCTTACAACTCTACAATATTACATGAATGATCCACAATATAATCTATTTCTTTTTACCTTCTCACTCCATACATGAGGTAAGTGTCAAGGAGAAAGAAAGGTCGCAGAGCTCTACTAATCCTCACATGCCGACTTTCAGTTGGCTTAGCAAGCAACACAAATATCTCAAGAACCATCACTATTATTATGATAGCCTGATATGTGCATATCATGAATGTGTGAGTGGGTGATAAAATTTAATTATAAAGGTACACAACTACTGTATATGGTATCATTAAACCTACAGCAACTGTTGATCTTCCTTTAAAGAATAGCTTAGGTCCCAGCCATAGGAAACGCAAGAATAACTGAACAGTAAAAAATATAAGAATTGCAAACTCGATAAGTAAGTGAACCTAATGATGAAAAGAGTGTTAATTAGTCATCACACAATGCAAAAATAACTACATACAATTTGTTCCCTCTTTTCTTTCTTTTCTTCTTGTGCAGATGTAGCTGATGGCTCCTCAATGAATGCTACTAGCATAAGAGCTACAGCTAGTATCAGTGCAAACCAGTAATAGAAGGGATTGTGGAGTATCCTGTATGCTATCCATGATGCCTTTTTATCAGCCAGTGACTCAAATTTCTCGTTGTCTCTGCCTTCTTTTATCAGCAAGGCAGCTTTCTATGAAAGCATTAAAATAACTATTATTACAATGTCAGTGTACATAGGCTTACCTTGTGGTTAGGGCTTGGGTGATAACCATCTTGAGTAATATCAGGAGAGTTTATAGGAGGCAAGGAAATGGCATCCGGCTTATCAACGTATGATTCAGCTTCCAGTTCTTTCTCTTCCACCGGCCCGTAGCTTGTGGATAATATCTCTTCTACTGGGACTGAGGACATGACTGGGCTAATCAACAGCAGTAGCAGAGATGTGCTGGCGCGGCCAGACTACAGTGCTGGTGTGTTTCCGGGGGGTAGATCCATTGAACAAACCGTCAAAAATGTTAACTATAGTAAATCTACAGCTTCTTCCCTTATGAAATTGTAGTATCAGTCCTTTGGTGTTGGAATTTAAACAGTAGTTGTTGACTTGTTGTAGATGTTCTAAGTTTGCCCATTCTCAGCTCATAGTAGTGCTAGGGAGGTGTTTCATGGGCGGGGCTCGTTATAAAAATTGCAGAACTCAAATCATGGCAGAAAAGGATGGTTTTGTTGCCAAGGTCGTTTCTGGAGCCATAGAGAAAGAAAAAGAATCCTTGAAGGCACTTAGCCATGAGATATGGTCTAACCCTGAGCTCAATTATGAGGAAGTCATTGCTCACAAAGTTCTAACGGATTACTTGGAAGCAAAAGGATTTGCTGTTGACAGGGAGTTTTGTAACATCAAGACAGCTTTTAGAGCAAGGTACTAGACCTTTCACCTTAAAAATTGTGTTATTAATACTCTGCATGCTATGTGACTGCTTTGGTTAGCAGTTTTTTGTTGCAATATTTCATACAAATAAATACCTTTTGCAGTAGTAGTTGACTTTAACATTTATCTCTAGGTTTGGTTCAGGGTCACCAAACGTGTGTGTCATATGTGAATATGATGCTCTCCCAACAATAGGCCATGCCTGTGGTCATAACCTCATATCAGAAGCAGGAGTAGCTGCTGGGCTAGGTGTCAAAGCTTACCTTGAGACAACAGGTTTGACTGGTACTATAACAGTCCTGGGTACGCCAGCTGAAGAAGGAGGGGGAGGAAAGATCCTACTAATAGAGAGAGGAGCATTGAAAGGGATCGATATGTCCATGATGGTCCATCCAGCTCCTTTTGAGATCATCATGCCTAATCATTTATCATGCGCTCAGCTAACAGTGGAATTCACAGGTAAATGTGTCCTATTAGTAACGGCTACTATAATTGAGATTGTATAATAGGTAAAGCGGCTCATGCAGCTGCCTTTCCATGGGAGGGAGTCAACGCTTTAGATGCAGCTGTACTGGCTTATACTAACATCTCCCTCCTGAGGCAACAGATGAAGCCGTCATGGCGCGTTCATGCTGTCTTTACTAACGGTGGCACAAAGCCTAATATAATACCGGAGAAAGCTTCTCTTCATTATTACGTGAGAGCTCCGACGAGCAGCGAGTTGGAGACACTAAGAGCTAAAGTGGTCTCCTGCTTTGAGGCTGCAGCGACTGCAACCGGATGCACAATGAAGACAGAGCCTGTCGGGAAAATATACAAGAACGTCGTCTGTAACCCGATTCTTGGGAAAATGTACGAGCGAAACTATCGCCAGTTGGGCGTGACTGATTATGAGTACTCTGGCGATTTGACGGCTTCGACTGATTTTGGTAATTTTTCGCAAGAAGTCCCCGGGCTTCATCCTCGTTACTGCGTGGGTGGAGGGAAAGTGGCAACTCATAGTCCTCCATTTGCGGGCGTGGCTAACACTCTAGAGTCTCACGCTAAGACTTTACTGGTTGCAACAACTCTGGGCATGACTTGTGTTGACGTGTTGAAGGGAGGGGAGAAATTGCTGAGTGAGATAAAGGAGGAATTTGATAAACAAATGGCAGCTTTAAAGTGATGTAATATCACTGTTATTAATTAATTGATTTGCTGAATAATAATAATATTGCATTGATAATTTGCTGAATATAAATAAGAAACAAATAGTACTAAAATAATAATAATAGTAATAATAATAATCAGATTGTTATTGCAAAGTTTCATCACCTTCTTCAACATCTTTTAAATTTAACACTTCAACAATTCCACTACCTTTATAAAAATAAAGAATAAAAATAGGTTTTCACAATAAAACTTCAAATTACCTTTAGTGTCTCCTCTCACTATCTCATCAATCTCTCGAAATCTTCCTGGATCAATCAGACATACCTAAACACACATAAAACATTAATAATTTTATTAAAAATGAAATCTGCATTAACTTACAATTTCTAACTGTGGTCTCCAGTCCTCTTGTTCCACGCTGGCTAATAGACCAACTATCTTCTCCCTTACTTTCCTTGCTTCTTTAACTGGTAAGACTAACTTGAGTCTCATCCTTGCCCTCTCCAGAGGCATGTGATCTTTTAATAACCTTATGACATCTAAAGACTAATGAAGAGAGAAGAACTTAAAAGAGAGAAACTCGGGCAATAGAATAGATAAGACATTTTGGAACAAGAAAGTGTCTCTGTTATACAGAGGTGTCCTTTATGTGGAGGTTATTTTATACAGTAAGGAATGTAATTGGTACACTAGGTGCTGTCCGTTAAATGGAGGTGCACGCTATAGAGAGTGTCCATTAAGAGAGGCTATACTGCACTGCTATTTATCCTTTACCTGTTGCTTAGCACTTCTGGTTGGTTTAACAGCATAATGTACGTCCTTCATGGCCCTCTCAATCATCCCTACGGTATAGGGTCTCTTGGTGTCAGGATTGACGCATTTATCGGCAACAATGGTTGATATATCACGAAATAGTGATTCTAATTGAGACTGACGCTCTCTTTCTGATATCTGTAACTCTCCTTTGCTTAATATCTGATGGAAAAAGAGAGAGGGAGAGAGAAGTATAAGGATGTTTGTAGTACTATTAATAATTTCTGACTTGCATGTACATTAATGACATTAAAATTTTATGGGCGTTCACAGTAAAATTTTGAGCACAACCGAATCACTTAACAGTTCACCTCTTTGGGTAACGTACAGTTTTACAAATTTCCGTTTGATCTTCGGTGCCAAACGCAGAAGCTAGATCATCTCTCTTTGCCACCTGCCCCTTTGACACGTTATTAAACACGGTATGAGTCTGCAAGACTTCATCAATATCCTTCTCACTGGAATAAAGAAAGAGTAGTGACAGTATGATATAATAGCTCATTAAATTATATGCATACAATTCATGAATTAAGTACAATTTATTCATAAATATTGTAGTAAAATTACAATACATTAACATTATAATTTATCACAAATCATAATTTAATGACTAACACTTTGTTTCTCCAAGATACGACCTTGTTCTTGTAGCAGGCAATCTCAAATCTTTTGCCTCCTTTCTTTATACGAACAATGGCAACATTTGTAAGCCTAATCTGATTGGTAGGAGTGAATATGGACATCCCTAGGACATAGAATGAGCTAGAAAGGAGAAAAACACAAAATGCACTTTATTAATTGAGTAACTTAAGGGTTAAAATTTCAAATACCACGCCTACTAAGCTTAATATACGGAACAATCCAGATAGTATACGTAGAACACATGGCAGCATTGGCAGAATCGAAAGTTTTGGAAAGAGAAGAAATCGGTCGCTATGGGAGACAACTGATACTACCAGAATGGGGAGTGCAGGGTAAAAACGCTGTAATTTGTATTAGTTGTATTCTTGTTCCTTTTCAGGTCAACTGAAGATGAAATCTGCTTCTGTTTTGATAGTAGGAGCTGGAGGGCTGGGCTGTCCTGCTGCTCAGTACCTTGCTGCAGCAGGAATAGGTACGAATAATAGTGGGTGTGGTCTCCAGACAAAAATACAAAATTAAATTGAATGAAATAATACTTAAATTTTACAATTTTTCTATAGGACATCTTGGTGTTGTTGATTACGATAGTGTTGAAGTTAGCAACCTTCATCGTCAGGTATGAAGGAGGGAGGGAGAGATCACGTGACTATTATTGGCAGATATTACATACTGAGGGAAGAGTGGGTGTAACTAAAGTGAGCTCCGCCCAGGAATCTATTCAAAGGTACTAATGATTAAAACTTTAAATTGACTCTTTTTCCAGTTTAAATTCAAAAGTTAAAGTGACTCCTCATCATTTAGTTTTGAACAGCACCAATGCACTTAACATCATTAAAGAGTATCCTAATACTATCCTTATAATATCCTAATAATATCCTGATAATATCCTATTAATACTGGGTGCATTTTTTGTCTCCTTAACTTTATCAGTTATGATGTAATTTTAGATGCAAGTGATAATGTGGCTACAAGGTAGAGGGTGAAAGAAAGAAGAAAAAGAGAAGTGAAATTTAAAAATAATTAAATACATTTCAGATATTTATTGAACGACTCTTGTGTTCTATTAAAGAAGCCACTAGTCTCTGGAAGTGCACTAAGATTCGAAGGTCAGGTAATACACAGTAAATCCTTATTCATAATAGCGGAACTCATTCATCGCAGCTAACAGTTTATAACTATAAAGGAGGACCATGTTACCGTTGTCTGTTCCCTTGCCCCCCTCCTCCTCACTGTGTCACCAACTGCTCTGAAGGAGGCGTGGTTGGTGTAGGTAAGCTAGGAAAAGGAGATGGGATGAGAAATAGCAATATGGCTGATAAATGTTTTAAAATATATTTTTTATGTTTGTTAGTTCCTGGTGTAATTGGGTCATTACAAGCTTTGGAAGCAATGAAAATTATAACTGACATTGGAGGTGTGTGTGTTCTCTTTAATTTTACTCTTTATTAATTCCCTTCTATTTTTAGATTCAATGATTTCAAAATTATTATTATTTGACGGGTTTTCTGGTACATTTAGGCACATCAAGCTAAGAGAGCGTAACCCAGAGTGTTCAATATGTGGGGATGACCCTATAATTAAGGAACTAATTGATTATGAGCAGTTCTGTGGCTCTAAACCTAATGACAAAGTACATGTATGTAATGCATGTATTGTTTAGTGGTGTTATTGCAGGAGAGACAAAAAGAACTACTTACTGAGAATCAGAGGATATCTTGTGCAGTGAGTCATGATCTCTTTCATTCTTTTCTTTCTTTATTGCTGTGTGCATTTACTCATGGTATTTCATCAAAAATGGCCGGGCTAAAGTTGCTCAAAAATTGGACCAAAGTCCCTGTACTATAGTACAAGGGTACCAGGCCAAGTTTTGCCAAAATTGAAAAGAAAAGAATTGTCCATTTTTATAGTTTTATCTGATGCATATACATGTTCTTATGTTGTGTAGAAAGTTTGAACTGACTCCAATCAAAATTGGATTTTTAATGAATTTTTAAAGTTGCTCCAAAATCAGGCCAAAGTCCCTGTACTATAGTACAGGGTACTCAGCCAAATTTTGCCAAAATTGAAAACAAAAGACTTCTCCATTTTAATAATTTTATCTGATGCATCATCAAGCTTAGATTTTTATAAACTTTTAAAGTTGCTAAAAAGACTGAGCCAAATCAAAAATAACTAGCAGACAATCCTCCATTAAAAGTCCACCTGCACTCTCCTAGGATTACAAGGCTTTGCTTGATGAGGGTGTTCCTCATTTGCTACTTGACGTGAGGGAACCAGTAGAGTATGACATATGTCACCTCCCACACTCACATAGTATGTGAAATAAACTACAAATTACTATTATTTACTATTTCTATGATCTAGATATTCCTTTGTCACAGCTGCAAAAATCAAAAGACATTTTGTCACTATTAAATACCCCATTGTCTGATGACAATAAGAGAGGTACTGGTTGCATTATTTGTTTGTTAAGTTGAGCTCCTCTTAAGTCTCACATGTATTGCGAAAAATTTCTTTAAAACATGTTAGATCTATTTTTGCTTCAAAAATCATTATATAATTTTTGTGTAAAAATGGATTGTTCTCTAGTTTTTGTCATATGTCGTCGTGGGAATGACTCTCAAGTTGCTGTCCACTTGCTAGAAGAGTCAGTATCCAATCTTCAGCTGTCTGTCTCTGACATTAAAGGTGGACTAACTGAATGGAGTCATAGCATTGACAAAAATTTCCCTCTTTATTAGCAATTATTATTCATCTATTTTGAATTATTGTAATAGTATTCATGAGCATTAATTTGCTAATTAATTGATTAAAGTAAGCCATTTTTACAAGCTAAGTACGTTTACAAGCCTCGCTGTACTTAAGCTGTATTTGTCTTAGCTAGCTTAGGTAAGTACAAATCTGCTCATATCAATCTATAAGAATCTCTCCTCTCTTTAAGCTATAATGAGAGGACTTTTGTGTCTTCTTTTGTTTTCCATTTCTGTCTCAGCAGAAAGCAACACAACTTCTACTTGGATCTCGACTTGGATAATCGTCAGCGATGAAGGAGTTGACTCTCATGAATGCCACACAGGAGAGGTCCCTTGCTTGACGCTAGATCATGCCTTGGATGGTCTCAGGAGCAACATGATAATTAGAATAGACACTAAAGAGGTAAACCTCACAAGGGCTCATTATTTCGAGTCTATGGAAGATATAACAATAACTTCACTGAATAACACAACTGATGATGAATATCCCACAATGGACCACAGCTCCAATGTATTAGAAGAAGGAGTTACAATCACATGCCCTGAGGTTGGTGCTGGCCTGTCGTTTGTTCATTCAGTGAATATTGAAATATCTAATTTGTCATTTATCAATTGTGCCATAAGTCATAAAACCTCGGCATTAGGTAATTGGTCTTGTAATAAAACAAAAGAGGATTGCACACCATTAATCTTTCCTAATGCATCTTCGGCAGTATTTCTTTATAATTGTACTAGGTTTACCCTAAACCACACCTATTTCTCATCCGGGCATGGCTCGGGAGTCTCACTTTATAACGTACTTGGAAATGTAATAATTGAGAACTCACATTTTGTAAACCACACCCTCTTACACCCGGCTATTCCTTGCACCAATATTAACGATTATGATAACTGTAGCGTACAGTCAACCGGGCTTTATATAGAATTCACTTATTGTGAAGAAATGACCTCAACAAGTTGTGGTGACAAATTTCATGTTAGGCATGTTAATTATTTGATACGTGACTCTTTGTTTAAAGGCAACAGGAATTTAGGATCCTATCGTAATTATACTGACATAAGACCATATGCTGGACTACAAAGAGAACAGCATTGGCCTTTTGGAAAAGGTGGAGGATTAGGTATTGCCTTTCGCTCATACAATTTCAAATACCTCAACTTGACGGTAGAGAGGACTGCTTTCATTGATAACGAAGCTGTGTATGGTGGGGGTATGTATTTACAGTTCGAGCCAGGTTATTCTGATCACGGTTTTTTTAAGATTTTAGGCTGTGACTTTATTGAAAACCATGGTTTAATAAATGGTGGTGGGCTGGATCTTGATTTTAACGTTCTCTATCACACAATACATCACGATATGCTACAAAATCAAAGTTTTCGTAACCATCTTAGTGTAGGCTACAACCAGTTCAACTCTAACATTGCTTATTGGGGTGGGGGTGTATCACTGGTCCTTTATCCAACGAATGTCTCATACTTAATTACTGACTTTATCTCTTCAAAGTGGAATAGTAACAGGCACATTGGTGGAGCTGGTGCTGTTGGTATTTTTAAAAAGGAAAGACCAGAAGAGAACCTACTTATTGTCCCAAAAGTTACGTTCACTGATTGTATTATTCATGCTACTGAAGCGAATAGGAACTTCTCTATGATACCTTGCAGTCTCTACTCTGAGAGTATCCCCCTTTTGTTTTATGGTTTTAACCTTTTCACATCTAACCGTGCCTCTGCACTCTGTTTGAGTGATACTGGAGCGATGTTCTTTAACTTTATTCATTTCTCTCACAACACTGGTTTAAATGGAGGGGCCTTGTTCTTAACTGGAAAGTCCTACATCACTGTTAGCAATAACGTCCATATGGAGTTCAATAATAACTCAGCCAGACTAGGTGGTGCTATATATTACCTTGCTCCTATTCCACTTGAAATGAATACGAGTGGCTCTTGTTTTGTAAAGTACCATCAAGAAGGTAACTTTGACACTCCACCAGAATATTGGTCTGTTGATGTTACATTCTCTGGCAATGCTGCAACACAGGGCGGTGATGCTGTCTTTATTAGCAACCCAAAGAATTGTCAGTGGCCGAATGAGCCCTCTCTTTTTGATCCTAATAGAAACAAGACATTTGATTATTCTAGACAGTCTCAAAACAGTTCTACTCATGTCACATCAACTCCACCACAGTCTATGTACATCACTGGTAATGTTGTAGAACAAGAACAATGCTTTACTTCTATGATTGATACCAGGAGCCCATGGGCTTCTGTTGATACTAATAGTACTGACAATACTAATGCAGTATTCCATCATTACATGATGCCAGGACACATGTTGGGCGTAAAAGTACATGCTTTGGACTATTTCAATCAGTCTGTATCAACTGTCCTTAGCATTGAATGCCACAATGCTGTAGATTATATCTTCTCTCCAGACATTTGCAATGAGACCTCATTCAATATTGATGGCAGGATGGCACAGTCTAGTACTTCCATTAATAATATCATAACTGGACCACGGAATGAAGACTTTGTCCTTTTATTTCGCACTTATGATCCAATCTCTATTGTAATCCCTGTACATGTACATCTCACTAGCTGCTGCTTTGGTTATAAGTATATAGACAATAATAAGTGTCTTTGTGGTTATGATTTGACTAGTTCCACTGGATCAGTTGGACCTGTGGCTTGTATTATTAATGCAACGAAGTCACCTGATGTAGACCGTACATCATCTACTATTCCTTGTGTAAAAAGGCACTACTGGGCCGGGAGTTTACCAGTTGAAAACAAAATTTTCTATCAATTTTGCCACACAGGTAAATGCAGTTTTTTGGATAAGCTTAAATGCGGCAAGTATTCTGATTACCAGGTGCTTTTGAATCGTTCTTGTATTAATGATCTTTCAGGCCCACTCTGCTCCTCTTGTGACCACAGCAAAAGTGTTGAGCTCACTTATAATGCATACAGTTGTTCTCCCTGTAGTATTTCTCATCAAATTGGCCTGTTTTGTCTCATTTTTTTGGGTTGTTTTCTCATTGTTATTCTTATTCTGATACTCCTCAGACTCAATGTGCGAGTAAGCACTGCTGCATTTTACAGTTTCTTGTACTTTTACAGTGTCCTCCCTGTCTTCTTATGGGCCAAAGAACAAGGAACTGCGCTAGAGGTCATTATAGCTGTCATAACAAGCATAACATCACTAGACTTCACACTACTGCAGTACACACATTTTTGTTTGTTTAATGGAGTAATGGCTATACACTATGAGTTTCTACACTATGTTTATCCAGTTACTATTGCTCTTCTCATAGCTGTTATCATTAAATGTGATAAATATTGCTTTAAAAAGCTACAACTGTTCACTGGTGATTCTGCTGTTCAGGTACTATGCATTATGCTCCTAATTGTTTACACATCTATATCCGAGACATCACTTAATATACTTTTGCCATTATATTATTTTGATGGTTCAGCTAATGAAAGTGATGTAATTTACAGTGAAGCATATATCTATGTTGATCCAGGAGTTACATATTTTCATATAACTAATCACTTACCTTTCTGGATAGTTGCTTTTCTGATTGAGTTTGGTATTGTTCTACCGTTTGGTATATTCATGACAATTGCCCCATTTCTAATGCGTTGCATGAACTTCACTCGAGTCAAGCCGCTCCTGGATGAATACCAGAACTGTTTTCATGACAACCATCGCTGGTATGCAGGTGTCTATCTTTTAGCACGTCAGGCATTGTTCCTTATATCAATGGTTTGTTCTCATCCAGAGATAATGTCTTATGTCCAACAGATTTTCTGTCTCTTGCTCCTAATATTGGTATCAGTTTTACAGCCATATCGTAACCCACTCATCAACAAGATGGACATATTTTTCCTTATGATACTAACAATCATATCTTTCTCTGGATATAATCCCACCTCATCACAAACCTTTGCAAATGAGGAGGCCCATGAGATCATACTGGGTTTTCTAAGTTTAATACCGTTCACAGTAATAGTGATTGGGTTTATTGGGCTCGCAGTGAGAAATTATCTAGTGAGACCTCTTGTATTGAAAAAGGTTCTTGGATTGCATCATGTTATTTCAGACCAATCAGATACACTTTCTAAGGCTTCCGAGGAACCACCCGATGGCTTTAATTCATACAGTCAGAGGGAGTTACCCCCAAGGTTTTACGACGAGGAAGAGGTTTTCAATGAGACGACAAGACTATTACAGTCTACTCCAAGAGGAAGAGGGAAATTGTCTATTAATACTGGACTCCCCCACACTCATTAGTGATGATAAATATCTTGTTATTACCTACTAGCTTCGATGTTAGTATTTTATGTCAAGAGTCTTTGGTGTGATTACTACTGCTTTATTTTATAAATAGAGTAATAAATTTGTTTCCATGGCCTATTTTTTTTTAACTATTGGCTTATATATAGTCTATCCTTTTGCTAATTTTTAAAAAGGTCCATAAGATTAAACCCAGGATTAGCATTGTTATCCATTTTGAATTTTTGTAATAGTATTCATGAGCATTAATTAGCTAATTTTCTGCCATTTTTACAAGCTAAGTACGTTTACAAGCCTCGCTGTACTTTAGCTGTATTTGTCTTAGCTAGCTTAGGTAAGTACAAATCTACTCGTATCAATCTATAAGAATCTCTTCTCTCTCTAGGCTATAATGAGAGGACTTTTGTGTCTTCTTTTGTTTTCCATTTCTGTCTCAGCAGAAAGCAACACAACCCCTACTTGGATAATCGTCAGCGATGAAGGAGTTGACTCTCATGAATGCCACACAGGAGAGGTCCCTTGCTTGACGCTAGATCATGCCCTGGATGGTCTCAGGAACAATATGATAATTACAATAGACACTAAAGAGGTAAACCTCACAAGGGCTCATTATTTCGAGTCTGTGGAAGATATAAAAATAACTTCACTGAATAACAGAACTGATGATGAATATCCCACAATGGACAACAGCTCCAACATATTAGAAGAAGGAGTTACAATCACATGCCCTGAGGTTGGTGCTGGCCTATCGTTTGTTCATTCAGTGAATATTGAAATATCTAATTTGTCATTTATCAATTGTGCCATAAGCCATAAAACCTCAGCATTAGCTACTTGGTCTTGTAATGAAACAAAGGGGGAGGATTGCACACCATTAATCTTTCCTAATGCATCTTCGGCAGTATTTCTTTATAATTGTACCGGGTTTACCCTAAACCACACCTATTTCTCATCTGGGCGTGGCTCTGGAGTCTCACTTTATAACGTACTTGGAAACGTAATAATTGAGAACTCACGTTTTGTAAACCACACCCTCTTACCCCCAGCCATTCCTCCTTGCACCAATATTAAGGATTATTATGATAACTGTAGCGTACAGTCAACTGGGCTTTATATAGAATTCACTTATTGTGAAGAAATGACCTCAACAAGTTGTGGTGACACATTTCATGTTAGGCATGTTAATTATTTGATACGTGACTCTTTGTTTAAAGGTAACAGGAATTTAGGGTCCTATCGTGATTATACTGACATAAGACCATATGCTGGGCTACATAGAGAACAGCATTGGCCGTTTGGAAAAGGTGGAGGATTAGGTATTGCCTTTCGCTCATACAATTTCAAATACCTCAACTTGACAGTTGAGGGGACTGCTTTCATTGACAACCAAGCTGTGTATGGTGGGGGTATGTATTTACAGTTCGAGCCAGGTTATTCTGATCACGGTTTTTTTAAGATTTTAGGCTGTGACTTTATTGAAAACCATGGTTTAATAAATGGTGGTGGATTGGATCTTGATTTTAATGTTCTCTATCACACAATACATCACAATATGCTACAAAATCAAAGTTTTCGTAACCATCTTAGTGTAGGCTACAACCAGTTCAACTCTAACATTGCTTATTGGGGTGGAGGTGTGTCACTGGTCCTTTATCCAACGAATGTCTCATACTTAATTACTGACTTTTTCTTTTCAGAATGGAATAGTAACAAACACTTTGGTGGAGCTGGTGCTGTTGGTATTTTTAAAAAGGAAAGACCAGAAGAGAACCTATTTATTGTCCCAAAAGTTACATTCACTGATTGTAATATTCATGCTACTGAAGGTCATGTTTCAACTTCAAGCAGCAGCTTCTCTATGATATCTTGCAGTCTCTACTCTGAGGGTATTCCCCTTTTATTTTATGGTTTTAACCTTTTCACATCTAACTGTGCCTCTGCACTCTGTTTGAGTGATACTGGAGCAACATTTTTTGACTTTACTCATTTTTCTCATAACATTGGTTTCAATGGAGGAGCCTTGTTCTTAACTGGAAAGTCCTACATTACTGTTAGCAATAACCTTCGTATGGAGTTTGATAATAATGCAGCTTATCAATATGGTGGTGCTATATATTATCTTGCTCCTCCTCCACTTGAAATGAATACCAGTGGATCTTGTTTCGTAAGGTACCATCAAGAAGGTAACTTTGACACTCCACCGGAATATTGGTCGGTCAATGTTACATTCTCTGGCAATGTTGCAACACAGGGTGGAGATGCTGTCTTTATTAGCAACCCAAAGAATTGTCAGTGGCCAAATGAGTCCTCTATTTTTGATCCTAACAGAACTGAGAAATTTGATTATTCTAGACAATCTCGACATAGTCCTACTCATGTCATATCAACTCCACCACAATCAATGTACATCACTGGTAATGTTGAAAAACAATGCATCAAGGATTTTCCTCTTACTAATCTTACACATGAGATTGATAAGAATAATAGCAACAATGCTATGCTTCATCATCGTATGATGCCAGGAGACATGTTGGGCATAACAGTTCATACCTTGGATTGTTTTAATCAGTCTGTATCGACTGTCCTTAGCATTGAATGTCACAATGCTTCACATTATAAAGAGTCTCTCTTCTCTCCTGACATTTGCAATAAGACCTCGTTCCATATTGAAGGCAGGCTGGTACAGTCTAATACCTTAATTAATAATATCATAACTGGACCACGAGATAAAAGCTTTGTCCTTCTATTTCGTACTTGTGACCCAATCTCTATCCTAATCCCTTTACATGTGCACCTCACTACCTGCTGCTTTGGTTATACGTACATAGACAATAATAAGTGTCTTTGTGGTTATGATTTGAAAGGATCAGCTGGACCTATGGCTTGTATTGTTAATGCAACAAAGTCACCTGATGTAGAGCGTGCATCATCTATTCCATGTATAAAAAGGCACTACTGGGCTGGGAATTTACCAACTGAGAAGAAAAATGGAACCAAAAAGGAAGATAACAGTATTTACTATCAATTTTGTCACACTGGTAAATGTAGTTCCTCAAGAAAGTGTGGCAACTATAAAGATTACCAGTTGCTAAGGAAACATTCTTGTATTCATAATCTTTCAGGCCCACTCTGCTCCTCTTGTAACAACAGCAAAAGTGTTGAGCTCACTTATAATGCATACAGTTGTTCTCCCTGTAGTATTTCTCATCAAATTGGCCTCTTGTGTCTCATTTTATTCGTTTGCTTTCTCATCGTTATTTTTATCCTGATATTTCTCAGGCTCAATGTGCGAGTAACTACAGCTGTATTCTACAGCTTCTTATACTTTTACAGTGTCCTCCCTGTCTTCTTATGGGCCAAACAACAAGGGACTGCTCTAGAGGTGATTATAGCCGTCATAACAAGCATAGCATCACTAGACTTCACACTACTACAGTACACACATTTTTGTTTGTTTAATGGAGTAAAGGCTATACACTATCAATTTTTACACTATGTTTATCCAGTTACTATCGCTCTTCTCATAGCTGTTATCATCAAGTTAGATAAATATTGCTTTAAAAAGCTACAACTGTTCACTGGTGATTCTGCTGTTCAGGTACTATGCATTATGCTCCTAATTGTTTACACATCTATATCCGAGACATCACTTTATATTCTATTGCCATTATCTTATTTTAATGGTTCAGCTAATGAAAGTGATGTAGCTTATGGTAAAACATATTATGTATATGTTGATCCAGGAGTTACATATTTTCATACAACTCATCACTTACCTTTCTGGATAGTTGCTTTCCTGGTTGAGTTTGGTATTGTTCTACCGTTTGGTATATTCATGACAATTGCCCCATTTCTAATGCGTTGTATGAACTTCACTCGAGTCAAGCCACTCCTGGATGAATACCAGAACTGTTTTCATGACAACCATCGCTGGTATGCAGGTGTCTATCTTTTAGCACGCCAGGCATTGTTCCTTATATCAATGGTCAGTTCCTCCCATCCAGAGATAATGTCTTACGTCGAACAGATTTTCTGTCTTCTGCTGCTAATATTGGTATCAGTTTTACAGCCGTATCGTAACCCACTCATCAACAAATTGGATATATTTTTTCTATTGATACTGACAATCATATCTTTCTCTGGATACAATCCCACCTCATCACAAACCTTTGCAAGCGAGGAGGCCCATGAGATCATACTGGGTTTTCTAAGTTTAATACCATTCACAGTAATAGTGATTGGGTTCATTGGGCTTGCAGTGAGAAATTATCTAGTGAGACCTCTTGTACTGAAAAAGGTTCTTGGATTGCATCATGTTATTTCCGACCAATCGGATACACTTTCTAACACTTCAGAGGAACCGCCACTGAGGTCTGATGACTTGAAGTCTTACAGCGAGAGGGAGTTGCCTCCAAGGTTTTACGACGAGGAAGAGGTTTTCAATGAGACAACGAGACTATTACAGTCTACTCCAAGAGGAGGAGGAGGAGGAAGAGGGAATATGTCTATTAATACTGGACTCCCCCACACTCATTAGTGATGGTAGTGTGTATCATTATAAATACTTATTATCTACTAGATCTAACTTTGATGTTAGTATTGTCATGTTTTTGGTGTGATTACTACTACTGCTTGTTATTTTGTCCTAACTTGATAAACAATTTATAATAAAAATCATAAACTTAGCTGTTTACATTCAACTTAGCTTTTTATATTCATTAAAAAAAACGTAGTAAAATTGGGATGATTCTGTAGACTATATTGCATGCTTTTCAAAAAAACTCCCTGGAACAAACCCAAACTTTCTACATAGCATAAAGATGATATTGATATTTATAAAGTTATTTTTAGATTTTACATTAAAATTAGAAGATTCTAGTGATAAAAAGAAGAGAGGGGAGACAATCTAGTGATGAGATTTATTATTATTAATGATGCAGTTTTTAGTTCATTCAAGTGACATTTGAAAACGATTTTTTATCTCTGTACATTTGAAGCTCATCTTCTGTTACTGATGGAGCCAAACCGGCCACAGCTGACATGAAATCCTCTTGACAGACTTCAAGAGTCTCAGTACAGCCTTCGTCTCCAGCACCTAAAAAACATTAAAATTAGTAAAAGACCATGAACTACATGAAGTACACATGTATAATAACGGTCATAGTTAAAACAAATATTTTGCCAAAATTGAAAAGAAGAGAATTTTCCATTATTATAATTTTATCTGATACATGTACATGTACTTATGTTGTGTAGAAAGTTTGACCTGATTCCGATCAAATTTGGATTCATTTACAAATTTTTAAGTTGCTAAAAATACCCACCAATTGTTACTGTACAATAACGCTAAACCAGTAGCCCTCCACACACTCTCTCTCTCTCCCTTACCTCTTGCCTCTAGTAGATGTATCTGTTTACGAAGTGCCCCCATCATAGCATCAGCACAAAGAGCATAAATATCAGCTCCAGTCAAATTACTCGGACATGACTCAGCAATGTCTTCTAAATTAACATCATTACTCAAGTTAAACCTAGTCAGAGAAGAAAGGAGGATAACAAGAAACATTGTGACTCTTTACGAATGGTAAAGAATATTACAACCATAGAATTTTGTGCTAGGAGTAATATTAATAAAAAATAAATATTCTTCAATGAAAGACTGTTTTAAATACAATGTACATGTGTACATGTAGAAGCTGAGGGTTGCATGCATTACTGGAGGCCTGAGCTACTATTCAGAAATGTACATGTACAAGTTCATGTATTTGCATGTACATGTAGATGTACATGTAGATGTACATGTACATATATTTCTTTGCTTTACTTTCTAGTGATTGCTTTTAGTATGATCAGTTTAGACTCAGTATCCTCGCATACATCAAGATAAACCAGTCTGTCAAACCTGTTTGGAAGAATAATCGCAGTACATTAATGTCGTAAATTATTATTATGACAATTGATACAATATCTTGTACCTTCCTGGTCTCAGTAAAGCTGGATCAATCAGATCTGGTCTGTTAGTGGCTCCAATCACAAAAACATCACCGACTTTATCCATCCCGTCCAGTTCAGCTAGTAACTGTGACACAACCCTACACAAAAAATATAATCACTTCATGAGACCAAGGGATGTCCCTACCTATCCATGACGCCTCCGGAATCTCCCGACTTCCCTCTGTTAGGAGCAATGGAGTCCAACTCGTCGAAAAATATGACGCAAGGGGCGGCACCTCTTGCACGACTGAAAACTGAAAAATTATAAATAAATTGTAGTTTTAATGTACAAGTAGATGTACAACAGACCTTCTCTTATGTTCTCCTCTGTTTGACCGACGTACATGTTAATGAGCTCAGGGCCTTTGATGCTAATGAGGAGAAGAGTGTATCATAAAATGTAATAAAAATGGAGCATTCTCTCTTAGCTACTTCTGATGAAATACCACTATACATAGTACAGGGTCTTAGCTAAATTTTAAAGTACAAAATGTCGCTTTACTATGCAAGAATTTAACCACATTCACCATCCAAAATTACATGTACACGCACATGCATATGATAATGATTATTTTGCTCCATGTCTAAAAGGACAATTACCTAATGAAATTGAGTGAACATTCTGTTGCAACAGCTTTAGCAAGGAGAGTCTTCCCAGTCCCAGGAGGACCATACAATAAAATACCTGCAAAAATATATTTCAATTTTTTTAATTTTCACGTAATTAATTAAATTAACTATTGATTAATAATTATTAGTTTACAATAATAAAATTTATTGCACATCCAATTAATAATAACAATAATTATTACCAGATCTTCTGAGTCCACTAGCAAACAGCTCAGGGTGTAACAAAGGTAACTGAATAGTCTCCAGTATCTCTTTCTTTGCAGTTTCCAAACCACCCACGTCTTTCCACTTAACATTAGGTATCTAAGGAGGGGGACACACCTAGCAACGGAGTACAGGAGAGGGTTACCTTTACTGATCCAATGGAGAGTGAGTGGAGTGAGTGGAGCTTGTCTAGAGACTGGAATAAATGTTTCTCTGTCACTAGTAGGCCACTGATTGATAAGTCTTGTAGCATGTGCCAAGTCTTTGGAGTATCAAATGTCTGTAGATTGAGATCTCTACAAAAGAAAGGGGGGGGGAGAAAAAGAGGGAGAGAGAAGAAAAGAGATAGGAAAGGGGGAGAAGAGAGAGAGAAGGAGAAAAGGATAAAGAGAGGGAAAGAGAAAGAATAGGAGAGAGAGAGAGAGAGAGAGAGAGAGAGAGAGAGAGAGAGAGAGAGAGAGAGAGAGAGAGAGAGAGAGAGAGAGAGAGATAGCAAGCTATAGATGTACTAGATTTACAAACCTCAATTGGTCTTCTAGTGCAAATTGTCTCGCCTTTAAGAGTAAAGTTTGAAAGTCTCCCAGTACAAAACCAGCTGTTCTCTGGGCTATACTAAAAGTATCAATCTCGGAGCTCAAGGGTATGTAACGTCCCAGGCCTTCAAGTAGGTCACGCCTCTCTTCTAAAGTAGGCGGAGTCATTATCATCTCATGAAGGAAACATTGCTGTATCCGAGGGGAGACAAGACGAGAGTCTGGAGCCACTCCCACTAATATTACCGGAAAATGACTAGATAATTAAAGGATTCCTTAAATTATAATGTAAATATCAGATAAAAAATTAACTAAAAATTTGGGGTGAATTCGGAGCCATTTTTTGGAAAAAACCATGGGCTATAGTACAGGGTATTTTTTAGATTTTTGACGTTTTCTTAAAATGGCCATAACTTGAAAAATTGAACTCCGAATCAGTTCAAACTTGCTACACAGTATAAGGACATCAATATGTATCAGAAAATGTAATAAAAATTTTGGATGATTTCGGAGCCATTTTTTGGAAAAAACCATGGACTATAGCCTTGGGTATTTTTTAGAATTTTGCCATTTTCTTAAAATGGCTGTAACTTGAAAAATTAAAATCGGAATCAGCTCAAACTTGTTACACAGCATAAGGACATCAATATGTATCAGAAAATGTAATAAAAATTTGGGGTGATTTCGGAGCCATTTTTTGGAAAAAACCATGGGCTATAGCCTTGGGTATTTTTCAGAATTTTGACGTTTTCTTAAAATGGCCGTAACTTGAAAAATTGAAGTCGGAATCACCTCAAACTTGCTACACAGCATAAGGACATCAATATGTATCAGAAAATGTAATAAAAATTTGGGGTGATTTTGGAGCCATTTTTTGGAAAAAACCATGGGCTATAGTACAGGGTATTTTTCAGAATTTTGGCATTTTCTTAAAATGGCCGTAACTTGAAAAATTGAAGTTGGAATCAGCTCAAACTATCTACACAGCATAAGGACATCAATATGTATCAGAAAATGTAATAAAAATTTGGGGTGATTTCGGAGCCGTTTTTTGGAAAAACCCATGGGCTATATATAGCCTTGGGTATTTTTCAAAATTTTGCCATTTTCTTAAAATAGCTGTAACTTGAAAAATTGAAGTCGTAATCACCTCAAACTTGCTACACAGCATAAGGACATCAATATGTATCAGAAAATGTAATAAAAATTTTGGATGATTTCGGAGCCATTTTTTGGAAAAAAACCATGGGCTATAGCCTTGGGTATTTTTCAGAATTTTGCCATTTTCTTAAAATAGCCATAACTTAAAAAATTGAAGTCAGAATTAGCTCAAACTTGCTACACAGCATAAGGACATCAATATGTATCAGAAAATGTAATAAAAATTTGGGGTGATTTCAGAGCCATTTTTTGGAAAAAACCATAGCCTTGGGTATTTTTCAGAATTTTGACATTTTCTTAAAATAGCCATAACTTTAAAAATTGAAGTCAGAATTAGCTCAAACTTGCTACATAGCATAAGGACATTAATATGTATCAGAAAATCTAATAAAAATTTGGGGTGATTTTGGAGCCATTTTTGAAGTTAATAAGCTACATGCATGATCTAAAAAGGAAGTTTATACCTCACAGAAGTTAATCAAATTGGCTAAGCTTCCAGCACATTGCATTAGGTCATTGATACATTAAGTGCATCGGAATGTCATCCAAGGATTACAACTGACCTGTTGTTTGCTTCAGCAGTTGCAATGTACTTCTCAAAAGCTAAAACAAGCCTTGGCTCATCTTCACGTGTCCCTTCATTTTGACCGGACAAAGTCAAAACTTGCAGTTCCCTCAATATCAAGACACAAGGAGCATTTCTAATAGCTGAGGGAAAGAGAAAGAATAATTTTAAAAATTAAATGATAAAATTAATCTTTTAATTTAAAAAACTAAATGATAAAAAAAGGTAAAAGCTTGTAAACCTTCTTCAAAAACGAGTCGAAGTGTTGTCTCTGTATGACCAATCACATCACTGGTAATATCGTAACAGTTAATCTAATAAAAATAAAATTATTATTATTAATCTTTTTAAATCACCTCCATCACGTGTAATCGACATTGCCTAGCGACTGCTCTTATTACAGTCCGTTTTCCCACCCCAAGGGGTCCGGAGACTAGCGTCAAAGAACATTTAGAGAGACGACCATTTCCACCACTACTGCTCCTGGCCACGCCTTCTTTAGCCCCGCCCACACTATAAAAATAAAAGTACCATAAAATTTGGTTGCGTAAAATTATGGTGAAATTTAGTCTCAAATTTGATGGGGCCCCAATAGCAGCATGCAAAATTTTTAACTACCAAAACCTTTTAAGATCAATTTTCAAAATTCTAATACTCAAAATTTTCTAGCTATACAACATAATTTCTCTCACTTTCTCACTCTTTCCCTACCTAGAAAATTGATGTAATTTAGTCAAAAAATGTCCAAAAAGGCTCCGACAATATTTCTCAAGGCCAGGTGGGTGGATTTCCTCCCAATAAGTGGTGGGCGTGGCAAACAAAGAAGGAGGGGCCAGATACGGCAAATATGAATGCGACGGTCCACTCTAAAATTAAAACACTCGTAGCTAAGGTCAGAAAAAATAAAAAGTACTCACGTAAAATAAATTATCTTCTTTTATTAGGCCACCCTCTTCTATTTCTTCAGGCTCAGTTCTGATGACTCGCAGTAAGAGTGGACCTATGAGTCACATGATAGTCATGTGACGTAGTTGTACATGTACATGTAATATATCGGAGTGTGTATTACCGTTGCTAGTTCTGAGACTGAAGACATCACCTTTGCTAACTTTTAATCTGTAAATATAAAATTGAGCAACTACCATGATCATTCTGCTTCTTTTTTCTCTCTCTACCTTCCTTTATCCTGATCTCTCTCTCTCCCCTCTCTCTTCCCCCCCCCTCTCTCTCTCTCACTTTTCAGTGTTCTTCCTCAGGTATTGCTGTATATTTAGTTTCCCTTCAGCTGGTATTGGCACATCATGCTTCACAACTAGTCCAACCATTATCAAATTCACATGTCTCTTGCTACCTGATCCTATTAAAATAATAAAATACATGTGTACATGTATTTTATGAAAAAAAGTACCTGAAAGTGGGTGTAATTTTGATTGACTTAAGGCGGATGAGGGCGTTGTCATTATATCCTAAAAGTTATAAAAAAATTTTAGTACACATCTGTTAAAATAAAAATCTGAAAAATATAGTAGCACAGATAAAGAGGCAATTAATATTTCTTTACCTCAATTTCAACATAATAGCGTTTCGGAGCAATTGGGAGTGTCTCCGGAAACAGATAAAAGAAGAGTTCTGGGTGAATATAAGCCGACTTCAAATCTTGCTCAGTAAACTTCTGCCCGATCTTCATCAAAGGACAAAACTCCTGCAACTCAATTTCATTGTCGTACAAACGGACAATTGTGATATGCTTCCTGTCTTCGGTCACACCCTCTTCTCCTTCCTCATCTCCCTCTCCTCCTCTTAGGCTATTTTTAAGAGGTATCACAAGGTTGCCATATGTGGGCGGAGCTTTTTGGGCGGAGTCAGGCTTGAGAGATGTGACCAGTACGTTGTGTAGATTAAAAATGTTGAATTGAAGAGAAAGGGATTTCGGTAAAAGGATGAAATGATATTGTAATTTGAAATTAAGGACGGGTCTGACTTCGATTAAGAAACGAGGTACTTCTAATTTCAGAGACTGAGGGAGGGATGCAGGTGGTACGTCTACATCTTCTAGCACCTCGTGAAGCCCGTCATCATATCGAAAATCAGACGCAGACGAGAACGAAGCTGAACGATGTTTGATTGGAGTGAGAGACCCAAACTGATATGGCGACGCAACCCTTTCATCAAAAATATCATCATCTTCATCAACATCGTCGGACTCGTTCCCAGGGGAGACGCCCCTAGGCTCTAGAGTGCCCGTACGAGAGAAGCCAACTTTTCTCGAGAGCTCATTCGCTATCACAATCAAGTCAGTTTTTTCTGATACACGTCCCTGTTGAGTGGGCGTGGTTGCTACCACGTTGAAAACAACTGGTGGGGTAGTAGTGGTCACACAGTCTGCAGGGACATCAGTTTCAGACTCAGTTAGAGGTATTTCACTACCAGATTGAGTATTAGGAATGAGGTCGTTAGAACTGCTACCACTGGTGTCGGGGTGCTCATTAATTAGAAACTCTTGTTCAGGGTATGGTTGGTGGGCGTATTGAAAGGTCTGATTTAAAATGACGGTTTCGTTTTTCGAGAGAGAATAGAGTTGAGCAATGCTTTGTTTGATGAGATCGTCTGTGATTCTATCATCTTGGGTGACGGAGAGGTAGGCCTTTTCTAAGGGGGCGGGGTTAGATGAGCGAAACCACACCCTCTCACCATGGTAGAAACAGAAATTGTTAAGAAAGGACTGAGAGACTTCGAGAATGAAAGGCAGTTCCTCTCTGTTACCCCTAGAGGAGCCTCTATCCACCGAGCAAGAGACTTGTATAACGTTAGGGAAGTGAACAGTATCGTAATTAGGAGCACCAAAGGGTCCGTCCGAAAGCCTTTGAGTTTGTAACGTGTTGTACTTGCATATAGCAATACAAGAGAATGAATAACTTCCTAAAGGTGTCGCCTCTACAGAACAAGAGAGCAGTACGCGTTGAGGCGACAGAGAGCTTGATTCTGAGCGCTTTATAAGACCTTGTAGCCAAACGTCCTCCATTTTAATCTTAATAAACCAAAGACCACGCCCACTGACCGCTAGATAATTAATATTATGATGACGGCTCTGTACTACCATCGACATTCTTCTATGCAGAAAAGAGACGGGCTAAAACTTATAGAAGAGATATCAGTAAAAGAAGGAGACCATGTCCTAGATCTAGGCTGTGGCACTGGTCACCTGGCGGTAGTATTATCAAAGATTGTAGGTGAAGAAGGGAAAGTAATTGCTGTTGATCCAAACAATGAACGAATAGAGCTAGCAAAGGAAGTAAACAGTTCTATTAACATAGAATATCTGGTTGCTAGTGATGCAGACTTTCCTACTGATCAGCAATACCATAGCGTAATCTGCACTGATGTTATACATTGGATAAAGGACAAAGAGAGCATATTCAAAAAAGTTTATTGTAGCCTTAGACCAGGTGGTACGTTTGGATTTACAACATTTTCCAACGAGCCAAAACACCATCCAATTCTATTTGAGATGTTCCCTCCAAAGGTGCTACAAGAAGTTATCAATTTGGCTTATAACACCTTGACACCAGAAAAATATAAAGAACTAGCAAGTTTGACGGGATTTGAGGTGACATTCATGGACGTATTTGAAGCTCAGATGCACTTTCCAAACATTAATGCGTTTGTTGATTACTTTTACAGTAGCTTTCAAGGAAAATTTGATCCCAATTCTCCAACTATAAAAAGAATTAAGGAGAAATACAAAGGACAGGAGCTGGTTAGGATATTACCAAGATTGACTGTCATTTTAACCAAGCCAATTCAATAGTAGATAGTAACATTGTTTATTTAAATTACTGCATACTTATGTTCTCACATTTACAGTTTTTGATTTCAAAATTAAAAAAAACAATTGTAATCTGTCACATTTTTTTTACCATGAGCTGAAATCACCAAAACCTTTGGATTTAGTTTTTGTAGATGGAAATGATGACGATGGAGTCCTTTTACTTGATGAAGCTTCGCTGACAGAAGAGGAACTCAAAGTTGAAGAACTGGTTCTCTTTGACCTGCAAATAATCAAACAAAATACACATGCTAGTTTTATAGCAAAACATGTACATGTTCAATCATCAATGCAGCAAAGTTAGTAACTCAGTATGCTTGCTTGTACATTACATTTTCATTAACATTATTTTTATTGTACATTACATTTATAATTTATTTAAATTTTCAATCAATCTTACCCAGCTAATGAAGAAGATGGTGGATCAGGTGCTGCCTGTGTTCCTTTGATTGTCTTTGGACTGATATACTTCCCTATTCCTTTTCTATACACAGTAGGTTGTGTTGAATCATCCTTCATCAGATATCATTATAATATTATTTATTAGGATTGTTATTTAATACTTTTTTCTTCTTTTTCTTTGATTCCAGAGCCTCAACTTTCTCCTTCTCATCTTCTTCCTTTAGCTATGGATAAAATGACTATAAAGCTACATGCACTGTTACAGTGTTTTCTTTCTCCATTAGGCAACTTTGTTGAAATCAACTGCAATTTTATAGAAAAATGTTCTATTTCAGGCAACAAAGTTGACACACATCAAAGTAACCAAAAAGTTACATTGATGCTTTCAACAAAGTTGCCATAGTGGATGTTGGGCTTTTATTCATAATTTAAAGTGAATACATGCAAAGCATGTAGCATCACTTATTGCTGTCACTTTAGTTTACCTGCAAGTCAACTTCTTCAAAAGGATCAACAAAAACAGAAGCACTAGTAACTTTAATTTCCTCCTAAAAAAGAAAGAGATAATGTAGTGAGTGTGAGAGAGGATATAAATCTAGCAATGGGCCTACCATTGGTCTATCTTTGTCAGTCCTAACTCGCTCTAGTTTTAACAGCACGTCCATGCCACCGACAAGTTTACCAAATACCGAGTGCTTCCTGTCCAAATGATGGCAAGACTTGAATGTTATAAAACTGGAGTAAGGGAACAAGAATGGCAAGAAAAAGAAGAGGAAAAAAAAAAAGAAAGAAAATAAAGAAAAAAAATACAGGAAAATAAACAAGGCTCCTAGCTTCATTACAATTGTGATCCATTAGTATTTGGCCCACTGTTGGCCATACTGAGTATTCCTCTCTCAGAGTGAGTGAGTTGCGGCTTGAACTCGTCATCAAACGGCTTACCCCAAGCAGATTCGCCACCTCTGCCTGTACCGGTTGGATCCCCACCTTGAATCTAAGGAAAAAGCAAAAAATGATGTTTAAAAATAGAATGATAAAGTAACTTTACCATGAAATGTCTGATGGAGCGATGAAATACTAGAAATTAAAAAATTAAAAATTTTTTTCTAACTATAAAAATCATGCTTACTAGTGTCATCATAATAGCCTTTTTTGCATAAGAGAATAAAATTTTCACAAGTTTTAGGAACCTATTAATCATGATGTAATAAGATATTGTACATGTACATGTACATACTCACCAGGTCACAGTGTAATTCTAAATTAAGATCACCCATGTTTGTATGAAGCCTGACATAACCTGGAGAGAGACAAGATCAGATTAAAGAAAGGAGAAAGAGAGTGAGAGAGAGAGGGGAGAGAGAGTGAGTGAAAGAGTACTTTAAAAAATAAATCAATCCCCACCTTTCTTCTTAACTCTACTGTAACGTACCACATCTTGCGACAAAATATCTACACAACAATCATGACTAGTCAATGAATGGACCAGTTATCATCACATCTTACCAGCTTCATTATACGTAGCTACTTCAGCAACAGTACTGGTAAAGGACTGAGCTACTGCTCCTGTGGAATAGTGAGCCTAAAAATCAAACAATGATTATTATCAAGAACTCAATACATAAAAGAACTCTTGATATTACACGGTTGCATATAGTACTGCTAACTTACTGCATTTCTTGCTGTCAGCTTCTCTTTTGTCTTCTCTTTCTTTTCCTAGTAGAAAAAAGAGCAGGAATGTCACAATGGCCAGCACCTGCTAACTAACCGGGGCTTTATACTCTTGGTATAATCCTTCCAAGGCAGCTTTTGCCTCTGGGTTTATGACACGCAAGCAATAAGTAGGATCTTTCTTAGCTCTTTCAATCTCTATCACAATAATGATAATGATGATATTTGATGGATGGTATTTCTAAATGGCTACTCTTCATTACCTTCTTCATCAACTAACAGGTTATTCTGCACATGATAAAAGTTTGAAATGTCAAACTTATCCAGTGCTTTCGGGTCCTAAAAATCATCAGTCTCACACAAAAAGACAAAACCCAGTCCAGTACCTGTATGGTCAATATGTCTGACCTCTTGAAGGGAGTGTCGTCTATCAAGTCCCTAAAATGTTTGGTGCTAATATTTAACCTTTCAATAGCCTAAGAAAGTACAAATAAATATAATAGTCATGCTATTTCTTGTTCTTTTTCTCCCTCCCCCTCTCTCTCCTTTCCCCCCTCTCTCTCCTTCCCCCCTCTCTCTCTCCCCCCTCTCTCCCTCCCTCTCTTCTCTTACATCATATGAGTAGACATTACCGCTCGTCTTTATCGCCACAATGTGAGTATTCTCGTTGAAAACTTTCAAAGTAATGGGACAATGATAATCTCCTAAAAACAACAACAACAACAATGACAACAAACAAACAAACAAACAAACAAACAAGTACATTCACACCTTCATTATTTTTGTGGAATTTCAATTTCGTTAGAGATTTTGCATCCATTGGCTAAAACAATTTTAGAAAGCACATGTATACAAGTATATTTCCGCCTTTTACCTTCCCAGTAACTGGGCTATGTCCGTATTTCTTCAAATAGGGAACGATGTTCCTAAAAATAAGTATGATGAAAAATAGAAATGTGCTCTAATTAAATTATCAATTTATTAATTAAACTAACATTAGATCAAATACCACGCCTTCAGGAGTACACAGAGGATGTTCAAAAGGTTGTAACGACAAACTGGATAAGAAGAAGTTAGTAATAATTAATGACAAAAAAGAGTTAATAATAATTATTATAATAATAATAATTATTATCAAGATATTAGCACCTGCAGCAGCTAAAAGGGAGACGTTTGAATTCAGACTTTCCTCCTCTAGCAGCAGCAGCTAAAAGTGAGAGTTTATGAAAAGAGCATCAATCAATTATTAGGTTTATAATCATACCTGCTTTCTTGCCTCCATAAATAGTTGACCATTCTGTGCAGGTCAAGTAACTATCAAAAAAGAACTGGTTATACTTTCTAAAGGCAAAAAACTTACAGCTTGTCCTTCTGGTGCTGTTTTTTACCCATTATTCTACTTCAACTTTTTAGGAAGGAGGAGTCAAATACATGCAAACACGCCCCTTTTGATGGGCGTGGTTTGTACTCAAAATGGCTTCCTTAAGCGATAGACTCCACAATGTGTACTCTAATATATCTGCCTCTAGAGAAGAAGAGGCACAGGCTCGGGCTCAGGATCCAGAGGCTTTAATGCCAACACAAGTATTTGATGACTATTGGATTTGGCAGGAGGCTCCAGAGGAAAAAGGCGAGACTTTGGGCAAGTGGCTGGTCTTTAAGCACAAATCAGTAATTGATAAAACTTGGGCAACAGTTCGCAAGGCAGTTGCTTCTGGGGAACTGGGTCCTGGATGTAATGGTGCTAAAGTAGCAACAATGTTGGAGAATCCTACAGCTACGAATCCTGATATAAAGGTCATTTGTGTCTACACTACAGCTGAAGATGTTGATCCTGTGGGATTGAAGCTTATTCAACTTGTGAAGCAAAAGATACGGTATAAAACTGATGAAGCAACTATGGCGGGTGTGTATGCTATAAATGGGTTCACAAAGACAACATGCAGGACACTCGACTGGAATAATGGAAATCCCAAGTTTACGGAATAAAAATGTATTGTTACTCGTTTAAATTAATTTTCTCGTTGTGTAGCTATTCAAAACTCAGTTGCAGCATTTGAGAATAATTTTTGTACAATAGTATCGCTTGTGTTTATTATTGTGTCAATTTTTGTGATTAAAGAAGTTGATTAATGCTAAATTTCTAGAGAAGTTGATCAATGCTAAATTATCACCAACAATACACTACAATCTGTTCTAATCTAATATACTAATTTTAAATTATTATTGTTTTCTTTGCAAAGCTTGTCATACAACCACTGCCAGCAGTGGAAGAATCACTTCAAGTAATGCTACCAACAGCAATAGTAGTTGTGCCTAAATAAAAAAATAAAGATAAGGAAAAATAACTATGAATAGATTTCATACCATTGAGCTCATTGTGCTTGTATCAGCAGCAGAAACTGCAGATCCAGTTGGGAGAACACTTGGGAGGACAGTTGGTAGGGCAGTTGGTAGGGCAGTTCCAGTAGCAGTAGCAGCAGTACCAGTAGCAGCAGTACCAGTAGCAGCAGTACCAGTAGCAGCAGTACCAGTAGCAGCAGTACCAGTAGCAGTAGGAGCTACAGTTCCAGTAGCAGTAGCATCAGTTCCAGTAGCAGTAGCATCAGTTCCAGTAGCAGCAGTTCCAGTAGCAGTAGGAGCTACAGTTCCGGTAGCAGTAGCATCAGTTCCAGTAGCAGCAGTTCCAGTAGCAGTAGGAGCTACAGTTCCAGTAGCAGTAGCATCAGAAGCAGTAGAAGTAGTTCCAGTAGCAGTAGAAGCAGTTCCAGTAGCAGTAGAAGCTACAAGTACATGTGTAGCTGTCAATTCAAAAAGTATTTATTTACTAACCTATAGAAGACCCAGTTACAGTCACAGACCCTAGGGATGTGGCTAATGATGTTCCAAATTCGTTAATAGCATTCACAGATACATCGTAAGTCCCATCGGCAATAGCAATTGTCCATGTAACACTGTTGCCTGAAGTGTAGCTAGCTATGGCATTGCTTTCTGTTATTGCTGTTCCAGAAGATGGAGTAAAGGTGGCTCTGAATGTAAGTGATGTGTTTCCACTGGTAGTACCAGCAGCACTGCAAGATAGAGTCAGCGTGACTTCACCAGAATCAGCATTTGCTGAACCAGTAGGAGCCATTGGAATTCCTTTGCAAATCAGAATTATGAAAATTGTAATCACTGATTAAGGACAAACCTGTTGTTGTGTTAACTTCTACATCATTGCTTACATCATGGTTAGCACCATTGGAGGAATTAAGAGCAGCTCTGCAATAATAAGTGGTATCAGTATAAACAGGGCCAATTGTGTACGACCCAGCTCCACTAGTTAGGCAGGAACCAGTTGTTGCAGGGCATGGGTTTGTGTATTCTAAATCATCGTCTTCCTCAGTTGTACACTCACTGTAAAAGGTAGGGGAAGTTGCACTGCTATGAACTGAAGCTCCAGTCCATCTAACAACAATATTACCACCACTGTGGCTTGCTGTAACTGTGCCAAGGTTTTCTATACAAAATTGAGAATTGGGTATGAAATTCAGTGTTGCTGTAATTATATGAGCTATTGCAATACAGCCAATCAATTACTAAAATTGACCAATTATTATGGTTATCATTAAAATCACTCATAAATGAGACATAGCTTATCTGGCAATAAGAAATATAACTTACGGGCAGGAATAGTCACTGAACCAAGTGATAAAGCTGAAGATGTTCCAAAATTGTTGGTTGCTGTGATGGTTAAAGTATATGTACCAGGAGTGATTCCAGTAATGTCCCAGTCAATGGATGCTCCACTTGTGTAACTGGCCATTTGATTTGTTGCCGTTTCCGCTGATCCACTGGATGGTGTGAAGATGGCTGTAAAGTTGAATTGTGTATTTCCAGACTCTGTTCCAGCTGATGAACAAGCTACAGTTACTGTGATACCTCCAGTTACTGTACTTCCAGTAGAACCTGTTGGCTGTGGAGGGATTCCTATTAATCATTAACAATAATCATAATAATAGACTTGAGCTATTTTCCTTGTTTTTACCTGATGTAGTTGTAACTGTTCCTCCACCATCATTTGCTACAGAGCTTCCTCCTGAAACTATGTGAGCTCTGCAAGTGTACACAGTTCCAGAAATAAGGCCACTAATTGTTTTAGAACCTGCACCACTGCTGAAGCAAGAGGACGTAGTTCCAGGACATGAATTTACGTTCATCAAAGTTGTAACTCCACCAGTTAAGCACTGACTGTAAATAACTTGGCCAGATCCAGGACCAAGATTTGCTCCTGACCAACTTACAGTAATGCCACCACCAGAAGCTGCAGCATAATTTACAGTTCCCATTGTGGCAGCTACAATTAATGAAATGTAATAATAATTATTAATGCCAATTAATTACTACATAACCAATTATTATGTTATCATTACAATCACTCATCTTATAATCAAATTACTTTAAAATTTTTATTTAATTCTTAATTACCATTACTCATGAAAAAGGAATCATTGATTTGTAATAGCTAGGTGAATGTAAACATTGAGGGGGCGAACATGAGCTATCGATTGTAAAATAAAATAAAATAAAATGATTCTAATTTAGCTCTTGAGAGAGAAAAGAACGTTAATCTTTCTTGTTTTAAGACCATTACCTGCATGCATATTCAGACCCCAACCTCACAGTCGGGGTTTGAACAGAGCAAATACATGAAATATCACCTTAGTCTCACCCCGTCCCTTCGCTAACTCCACGTCCACAACTACAAGGAGCAAAGGGGCGGGGCAAGACTACTACCACGGCCACCGGTGCACCAGCACCTAGTAGTAAAGTACGAAACTGCGTGGGCAGAAGTTATCACCGTATTGATTCTAATTTTAGGCATTCAATAATTACAATGTAAAAGTCAAAGGAAAAGAACCAAATCTTTGATTCGAAGAGAATATGTCGATACCATTACTAGCCAGTTCACTAAAGCTATATGTTACCCATTCCATGTGTTCTTTTCCTAGCTTAAAATTGTCTACTGTTTCGGAGGAAAAAGGTACAGAAACTTTGTCACTTTTACAGCACAAAATTATGGAGAAGATCTATGAGCTACAAGTCTGAGAATACTCTAGTTACATGCAACTCAAAGCACTTGATTGTAAATTATTACTTGCATTTATTAATAATTTATGTTTATTAATAGTTATTAATTGAAAAAATGAGCAAAATTGCAAAAAATTAGTACACTTTAAATTAATACCATTAACAAATTGCAAATACCTTAAGGAGACAATTATTAGCGTGTACTTATTTTAGCGATTTTCATGAAATTGAGATTTGACTGGTACTTAATTTAGCGTTTTTGATCATTTGGTATTAATAACTTCTAGAAGAATTAAAGGGGCGAGTCTAAGCAAGCTATAGATTATGTGCTGTGATCTACATGTATGAGCAAAGCAAAGCAATTGCACAAGTCTAAATACACTAATACAGTAGATCTTGTTGCATTAATCTTGCTTAAATTGCTTCATCACTGACTCTGCAGCCATTAACATGTAAAGTTATCTTGCTTACAGTTAGAAGCAGTCACTGAACGAAGAAGACTGTCATCTGCTTTGTTAACCTAGGCTAACTGCTAGAGAAGTCTTTGGACAGCAGTTTAGTATTATCTTGCTGACCCTTTGCTGCAAGTAAGCTCAGACTTGCTGACGGCCGCCATTTTATTCAATGTGACCACACCCACTTTCAATGAAGAAATTTAAATTAGCGCGGACTTAAGTTAGCGATTTTTTAAAAATCGCTAAAATTCGCTAAATTAAATACCCGCAAAAATTGTCTCCTTAAGGTACTTAAAAATAAATGACTTTAAGGTAACTTCACCCCCGATCCATTGGTTTATACAGGCCACCCACGCAGTTTCCAATCCCTTTATACTCTAATATCTATGCCTATATCAAATAACCAATCATCAACCAATAAAGAGAGAAGAAATAGTGCTTTCTTCAACAAAAAAAACTTGCACAAGCACTGTAGCTCACCGAAATTAATTTTATAAAGTTTCATTAAGTTTCCAGATTTTAAAGAGCTGGTGAAATAGCCTTTAGAGATCCTTGAGATAGCTCCTGTCTTCTCTAGCTAATAGAAAACTCAAAATTTTATCCGTTGAAACGCCGCCATCTTGATTACTTCGACCACACCCCCTGTTTTATTTCAATATTTCTTTTTATATCAGCCAATTTTATAATTAGACGGCATACGGAATGCGTATCGCAGGCACTGAACCGGTTTGAAACTGATTCCCATTATTATTATTATTATTATTATTATTATTATTATTATTATTATTACTATTATTATTATTATTACTATTATTATTATTATTATTATTATTATTATTATTATTATTATTATTATTATTATTATTATTATTATTATTATTATTATTATTATATATATTATTATTATTATTATTATTATTATTATTATTATTATTATTATTATTATTATTATTATTATTATTATTATTATTATTATTATTTATTATTATTATTATTATTATTATTATTATTATGAGAGAAAAGGGCAACAAAAAGAGAGGAAATATATAGAAAGGAGGAGAGGGAGAATTATTATTATTATTATTATTATTATTATTATTATTATTATTATTATTATTATATCTCAAACCACCTCCAATATATGTGGTTTGAAATCGTATTCAATAGATAATAACCAATGGCAGCTGGATGGAAAATACTATCAAAATATACAAGATCATCCTGAACTGAAGATAGTGTGTAATCACTTGATGTGCATTGGAATGTGCATCATTTCTAAACCAGTTCAAACCACATTGCAAGTGTAGCTAGAAAGGCCTTTAGAGGCACGCTCACCCCAATTACTTTAAGATATTTTTTAATTTAATTCTTAATTACCATTACTCATTAAAAAGGAATCATTGATTTGTAATAACTATGATTACAACTCACTGGTATGCATGCATAAGATATAAGTTATCTGGCAATAAGAAATATAACTTACGGGCAGGAATAGTCACTGAACCAAGTGATAAAGCTGAAGATGTTCCAAAATTGTTGGTTGCTGTGACGGTTAGAGTATATGTTCCAGGAGTAATTCCAGTAATGGACCAGCTAGTGGATGCTCCACTTGTATAACTGGCCATTTGATTTACTACAATTTCAGCTGTTCCACTGGATGGTGTGAAGGTGGCTGTAAAGTTGAATTGTGTATTTCCAGACTCTGTTCCAGCTGATGAACAAGCTACAGTTATTGTGATGCCCCCAGCTATTATAGTTCCTTTAGAACCTGTTGGCTGTGGAGGGATTCCTATTAATCATTAACAATAATCATAATAATAGACTTGAGCTATTTTCCTTGTTTTTACCTGATGTAGTTGTAACTGTTCCTCCACCATGATTTGCTACAGAGCTTCCTCCTGAAACTATGTGAGCTCTGCAAGTGTACACAGTTCCAGAAATAAGACCATCAATTGTTTTAGAACCTGCACCACTGCTGAAGCAAGAAGACGTAGTTCCAGGACATGGATTTACATTCATCAAAGTTGTAACTCCACCAGTTAAGCACTGACTGTAAATAATTTGGCCAGATCCAGAACCAAGATTTGCTCCTGACCAACTTACAGTAATGGCACCACCAGAAGCTGCAGCATATGATACAGTTCCCATTGTGGCGGCTGCAATTAATGAAATGTAATAATTATTATTATGCTTTCAACAATAAAAAATACCTTGTGATTTACACAGAACGACCAAAGACACCAAGACAATGAAAAGAGAAAAGAGAGATGGTTGGGGAGACATTTTTTGCAGCCTTCAAATCAAGCGACGCTCCTTTCGAATTATTTTTTATGCCATGGTAACCGACCGTAATCAGACCAATCGGATTGCTCGTATGCATTCGGCGCATAGCAACATCGCCGACCAATAGAATTCGCCATATCTGGCCCATAAGTGACTATTGAGCATTTTTGTGTGGAATTGAGCAGAGAGAAACATTGCAATTTTGTCTAGTATTAGTTTCAAAAATAATAACTAATTTTATTAAAGTTTAATGAAATAATTTTAATTATACACATTATTAATATTATTAAAATCATAAGCATCCAGTCACTTTGTTCCTTTGCAATGACACTGAGCGTTTATGTCTTTCAGAGAATAAGGTTGAGAGACGTGGTTTCAAAGCTGGTAGATGTACACTTTCATGCAATCTGCGATAAGCCTTTTCCTTCCTAAAAATTATTATTATCGAATTAGATAATTACTTAATTCTTTATTTATTATACTTACACTGTATCATTTCTTCTCACTATTTGGGGCAATTTCGTACTATAGCTAATAATGAAGGGTTAATTATTTCAGTATGGTACATACTTGATTGTGTCGTCGGCATCTTCTTTGTCTTCTGCTCCGGTCGGAGGAATATAAGCTCTGGCAATGAGATAGGCATCTGGTGTCCACTTCTCTGAGTACAAAAGGTCTTCAAGATCAGCCTTTAGCTGGAAGAGCTGCATAATTATTAAATTGAAATGGTAGGTAATTAATATGGTATTATACAGATGTACTTCATGACTCTGTTGCTGATTGATAGCTCTTAGATCTTTTATAAGTCTTTTGCACTCACTCATTGATAAGGGAAAGTCTTCCTGCTCTTTATAATCGACACTCATTGGACAGTCAATGTCAGAGGGTTCAAAACTATAAAAATGATGATAATTATAAGTATTATGTTGCATTGGTACATATTGTGAGTTACCTGTGTTGCACTTTTTGTTCAATCATCTTCATTAACCTGTCATTTCTCATCCTCTCATTCTTAAGGCTTCTCTGTAGCTCTTTCATCATCTCAAATTCTTTTCGCTGGGATTGTGGCCTTGATCGTTCTTTTTCTCTTGTCAATAAGCTTCTCTTAGAGTGGGCTGCAATAAAGTGAATTACATTGCAATAATTATACTTTATACTTACATGATAGGCCACATCGACACATGACAAGCCGGAAGTTTAGTTCTGCAAAGGAGACAGTAAGCATAAAGTCACAGTGAATATTCATAGCAAACCTTTATTCTCAACTTTTAATCTTTCCAATTCAGTGTGTAGTTGTTGCAAAGTGTCTTTATGCTGTACCCTAAAAAAGAAAAAAATAACACTGTTCTGTTGCCAATGATCAGTGTCATACATAGCAAGACCCAAAAGGCATAAAAGTTTATTTACTTACTTTAAGAAGTCTACAGTTCTTTCTAAATTCTTCACTTTTTCTGTTTGCTTTCCACCTTTGGAGCTGATATTTGCTGCACCAGAAGTTACTAGCCCATTGTTTGTCAGTGAATCGTGAGGAAGAGAGCTTAGCTCCCTGCCAAAGCCTCTCACACCAGCCCCACCTCCTCCCGTTAGCCCAGAGCGCCTCCATGAGGGTCCCCTGTACGTCCAAGAGCCTTCAAGTGACGCCCGAGCAGCCATAACTGACTGCTGCAGAGCACTTGTGGATAGGTTGCTATAGAAACGAGCACACACACCCACCAAAATGGGCGTTTATTAGAAAACAAAATGGCGGCGTTGGAGGAACAGTTGAGATTCAATTTGAGCGTTCCCCCTGATCCAGCCAACATGTCCACGCGGTTCAAACTGAGACCAGCTCCAGTGATCCTCCATAAACTATCTCCTCCTGCTCCTGTTGCTCCTCCTCCTTTATCGCTGTCTCTTCAAGCAAGAATGGAGTTGGCCTCCCGTTTAGCTAGAAGAGAATTACAAACAGCACTATTAATGAAGAATGCAACACTACTCTCAAAAGAACCAATAGTTTTTAATAATGTACGTTCAGCACCTGTACCACCTCCGAAATGTCCACCCACACAGGATGCTACTAAATCCAATCTCGCCAAATCTAATCTCGCCAATCATCAGAAATCAAAATTTAAAAGGGGAGGAGTCAAACATGTTACCATAGCAATGACGGAAGGAGGCCCGTGTGAAGAAGCCAAGCAGTTAAGAGACGAGCTGACTCAGCAGTTACACTGCTATCGTCTCTCGTTGCCACGCCCAGCCCACGAGACAGGTAAATAAATAAATAATTTTCTAAAATTAACTTCTTTTTCTGGTAGTTGTATTGAAATCAGATTCCATTGGTGGCAGCGGTAGACTAGAGTGGGTTGGAGAGATGAACAAGGAGAGAAAGATTATAGAACGTCGGACAGAGGAGCAGCATATTAGGAATATTAGACTACTTTATCAATTGAAACAGAAGGTCAATATACATGTATAGTGTATCATTATTGTTGTTGTTGTTGTTGTTGTTGGTTTTTGTTTATATTTTATATTTATAGATTAAAGAAGCTGAGAGGGCAATGAGCAAGGTGAAAGAAGGGGCTGATTTTGTTAAAAAGGTGAGTATGACTTCGCTCAAAGATCCTGTACAGTATGCAGTACAGGTATTTTTTCAAAAAATTGCTAGGAGAGAATTCTTCTTTTTTATATTTTTTTCTGATACATATACATGTTTTTATGTTGTTTAGAAAGTTTGAACTGATTCCAATCAAAATTGGATTTTTTATGAATTTTTAAAGTTGTTCCAAAATCAGGTCAAAGTCCCTGTACTGTAGTACATGGTCTCGAGCCAAATTTCACCAAAAATGAAAAGGAGAGAATTCTCCATTTTTATAACTTTTTCTGATACATATACATGTACTTATGTTGTGTAGAAAGTTTGAACTGATTCCGATCAAAATTGGATTTTTTACGAATTTTAAAATTGCAGGTCAAAAATCTTCTACTATTACTATTTCATTTCCTCCTCTCTTGTTCCTCCCCCAATAGTCTCATGCTGTCCAACAATTAGCAGGTGCTCACAGGACAGCTCTAAGAACCCTTCACTCTCTCACTAATACAGCCTCTAATGGAACAGACCCTAAAGTAACTCATCAACTTATATCGCTACTAGAACTCCTTGCAAGGATCTCGTCTCAGTCTGACGATGGTTTTGAAGACACTGAGCTACTGGAGGGTATAAAGGGCCTAAGGGAATCACTTGTCGATCATTTCGCTGTAGTTAAGTCTGCTTCTGTCGCCGAGGAGAGAAAGATCGCTTCACTTAAATCGCATGATCTTTCGACAGTCGCAAAACCTTCAGGAAAGAAAAGGAATATGAAGCAAAGACTTGGCTTTAAACCAAAGAGTGTTATTTTGAAAAGAAATTATACACAAGGTGGCCATGGCCATGGCCCGAAGTCGAAAGTAGAAGAAAAGAAAACGTTTAATCGTACAAATGGAGTTAGTCCATCTTTTACAAAGAAGAGAGAAAATAAAGTTGCTTTAAAAGAAAGACGTGATGAGCCATTGTCACTCTCTGCTCCTCCTCCTCCTCCTCCTCCTGCTAGTGATAGAACTGAGAATGTGGAGAATGTTAGTCGTAGCCATTTCGAGAAAGAAGTAACAAGGTAGAGAACTATTAGTACCGGTACTTTATTACCCTCAAGCATGCATTATTTATAACTAGGTACATGTACTTTTAGAGTTATTATTAGAATTTTATTATTGTAAAATAATTCCAAGTTATTTTTCTCAGACACATGTGGTACAATGCTAAACTAACGGAGAGCGTTCGTCAACTTGACTCGACCCAAAAAGAGACCTTGGGCAAGTTATCGGAGCTGGAAGAGAGAGTGAAGGAGATGAAGGAGCAAAAACCTCCTCCGCCATTGACTGAGAAGAGAGAAGACAGAGGGACACAAATGACACCAGAAATAAATGAAAAAGTAAACAATTTAAATAATTGTACATTTACATGTATTTTTTTAAATTTATTATTATTATTTATAGTCTACGTGCTTTAGCAAAGATGAGAGTACAGTACAAGTGAGTGGAGATGAAGGCAAAGGGTTTTTGGATAGAACTGCCGTGAGAAAAATGATGGAGAGACTTGACGAAATTGAAGTGAGAAACGTGCATGTTCTGAAAAGCTTTTTTGTCTAAAAAACCTACTCTTAAGTTAAGAAAATAAATTGATTTGTTGATCTCTTAGAAAGAAAAGACTGAAATACAAAGAAGATGGCAGTCTGTATCTTATGATGATCCCCTTACCTCTTCTCGAGAAACCTCTCCTTCTCCTCCTCCTTTATCATCGTCAGGTTTTGACTCTAGTAAGACCTTAGCTCCTTTATCAGCTGAGACTGTCGATAGTATACTGAGATATCAGGAGTTATACAAGAATTACCTGAAGACTACAGGGATAGATACTGAAGGAGATTTTAATCCATGGAGTATGGTGGACAGGTAAGGGCAATACAAGGACAGGTATATAATGTTAATAAAAATGGAGGATTCTCTCAAAGACCCTGTAGTATAATAAATAGTACAGGGTCTTTTTCCTACTTTTGAGCAACTTTAAATCCAATTTTGATTGGAATCAGCTCATAAGATAAAGAAAATTTAATAAAATGAAAAATTCTCTCCTAGCCATTTTCAGTGAAACACAAGTGCATGTACATACACATGTAAGCCGCTATAATTTTTTATTCATGTAAATTGATCAGGCAACCAAATTTTTAATATAATTATACCTGGTATAAAGGCCCCAATATGTTTTTCTGATGAAAACCCACTTCATAGAATGATGCACTTTCTTTATTATTAATTTTGTAGTATCTGTGATGAACTGATGGAAGAAATGCTCACAGAAGTGATCGGTGAAGTTGATAGTGCCCTAGACACTTATGTTCATCAACTGTTTGACAGTGAATTCCACATACCATAATGAACATACAGTGACAGCATATTTACTGTACATCATTATTGCTACAATTCACATCAATTCTTATCAACAAAAAGAAAAATATTTATTAAAGTTTCATTGCAGGGGATTTAGGTGATAATAATAATAATTTTGAATGGTCACTACATAAACGTGTACATAAAAAATTAACTTCAAATCATTGGTACCAACACACAATACACATTGTAAGAAATGCTATAAGTTATTCTTTTCAAGAGTAGAATCATGCAACATATTATAATAATTATACAACTTTAGATGATCATGCTTTCATAAGGACAACCATTAGTGATAAAAGAAAATCCTCCATTATTCATTAGAGCTCATCTTCATCCGACTCCACTATCAGTTTCTCTCTTTCTGAAGGCATTGCTTTAGGGAGTCCCATCTCTGGTATGGCAATGGCCATTACTCCACCGGGTTTAGGAAAGAAGCTATTCATCGGCTTATACTTTCCAGGAGTAACCCTCCTCCTCCTCTCTCTCATGGAGCTGTTTCGCCTCAAGTAACATATCCATATTGATAGTAAGAGTATAAATAGAACCAAGGAGATAATGAATAGTGTGAACAAGAGGATGTGATGCTCTATGAAATACACTACTGTGATGTGGTTCGTAACTGCGGGACAGTCGTTTGAGCAGTTTGTGGGCGTGGTTAACTGGGTGTAGTCAGGACTGATGTCGATTGGATCGTCCGATGTGTTGTGGATTGTTGTGGGCGTGGTCAAGTCAGGCGGTTCAATGGTCACCGTGGAAATGGAAGACGGACAAACGATGCTATCTGCAACGTCACTGACTATATCTGCTGGTTGTACCAAACCTAAAAAATAATTAAAATAATGGTTTATTTATTATTTTGTGGCCAACAATTATCAAATAAAATAACGGTAATAGTTTATTGTGGCTATGCTATGTCTAATCACAATAACAGCAGCAGCTGCAAGGAACAGTGTTCAAATCACCAACACACTGAGTGTGTACAAGGTCACACTGTTGGGCTCTGGGAAGTGGATAAATGAACTTGTACCATGAACAAATAATACCAGGAAGGACTCTATTTACTCTTGCTCTGTTGAATACAGACTATTCTAATTTATAATGATGTTAACACATCTCCTTGTTCATGATTCAATTCATGATTTCAATTTTCAACTGAGGGACAGTAAGGGTCTATATTAAATTTCATGCTCTTTCTTTGCACTGAAAATCAAATGTATATTAAAGTACCCGAATCATATTCTCCATCTTGAGTGACTACTGATTCTGATGCTTTAAGAGCGTGAGCTGTGATCCATTCCTCAACTGGGGCCTTGTCCACCCACGACATGTTGTACATACAACCCAATGTAACTAGTGCTAGAGGCTGAGAGAGAGGGGGGGAGGGAGAGGGAGAGAGGGAGGTTAGAGATAATCAAATCCTCTTCTCTTTTGCTGTAATAACATTCAGACATTTTTATCTTTATCTTTCTCTCCTTATCTCTCTTCCTTCCTACTTCTCTTACCTTTTCTTCTGATAAATGCGGATATGGTGTAATGATGTGCTTCCTCATACAACCAGAAAGTATGTCCTTCATTGCAATAACTTGATCCATGGGGGCACAAGGGTGATACAACAGTACAACAGCACCATACTAAGTGGGAGGGAGAGAAGTGAAATAAAATGAAAGAGAGAAGTCGTTTCTTTCAAAAAGTACCTTTAAAACATGCAGCCATCTTTGTGGAGGTAGATAACTATATTCGCCATATTTAGGTGCCAGAGGTCTATAGTCGCCACTGTTGATAGTATTAAAAAAACTAATTACGTAAGTGGGCGTTGAATACTCACCTTAAAGGAGGCGTGGCTGAGTAATGAAGCTCTTCACTCATGCATTTAGTTCCGCCATCCTATATAGTACAAAATAAATGGGTGTGGTGAACTGGGTGCGGTTTAAGAATGGATACATACCTCTGTGTGTTCAGTACAGAAGTTGAGGCCAGCAGGCTTGAGATACTAAACAAGACAATAATTCGATTTTATTAAAGTAAAAAGTGACATACTTCTTTGATTATGAGTCTATTTTGATCTTTGCAGCTACCATCTTCACCAGAAATGTCTTCCTCTATTTTGTACTAAGTTGAAGAAAAGTTGATGGAGAAAGACAGAGAGAAGGAGCATTTAGAGTAATGAGGCATTGCTAGACTCTACAGCCATACCTCTCCATTGTCACATATCTGAGATCCGTCCAAAAGAGAAGAGCAAGAAAATAAAATAGCAAACAAAAATAATAAAGAAGAAAAATCCTTCATCATCTTTTCCAATTATTGAGCCACACCCAAAACAATGGCGTCATCATTAACTGTGCGTGACGTCACGTCCTTGTCGGGTGATTTTCTCACGTGACCTTGATTCTGGTGTATAAAAATGGTAACCTGACATTATTTCGGTCCCTGACCCGTCAGGTTCATTACTGGAGGTTGCTATTCGTCTCTTCTCTGCCGCTATCACTTATGAGGACTCTCAGACGCCACCTCTCTTATTCCCTGCCTAGGAGAGCCTATACCAGCTATAGGCGAACCATTAATAATATAAATGAGCAAAATGAACAATTTATTATGAAATTATCAGTGCTTTTGCTAGTTGCAGGCTGCATGTTTGCATTTAATAAGCAAAGCGGTCTAGCCTGGATGATGGATGAAGGAGGTTTTTATGAAAATACACTTAGAAAGTACTCAGGGTAAGCTCACTTGCGTGATCTATGCATGATTTGTGCGCTAGTGGCGCGTGACCTTTAATCATTAAAGTCACTTGTGAATATCATTACTACAACAGGTCTACAATGCTTTTTACAATTTTCTTTAGGAGTTTAACAGGAGAAGCTGTTGCATTCTTTTTTCCTCCTCAATCAAATTCATTCTCTCCTCTCCACAATGCCAATGGCAGCAGCACTTGCTGTAGGAACAGTACCAAGGTCAATGATAATCAAGCGTGGGTGGTAAGGAGACGGATCATTGTTATCATTGTGCTATAATGTGCTAATAGGATGAAGTAAAGGTGTCAAATCCTGCTGTCTCCAGCAAAACAAGAGGTGAGTAGCCAAAAATGCTAATAAGCAATAGCAAGAGTAGATAATTAGTCTTGGCAATAGTAATAATGGTAGTAATGGCATCAAAAATATAAACAAGATTGATTGTTTATAACTAATTATTATGAGTTTTATTTTATTTAGAAAGTAAAAATGTTTTTGTAGTGTCAGCTGTAACTAGACAGGTTTGTACAAAAATTTCCAATAAATAATGATTAATTGTTTCTTTTACTTAGAAGCAGCCGGATGTTTTAATTTGTCTCAGGAAAGCGTTAATCTTAGCAATCATCACGTCTATCTTTATCATCTTCTTGCACCTCCAAAGGACACTCAATGAGCAAATATGTCTAGCATCACCACAAAAAGTGACATGGCAACTTCTCCTGTTTCGCCTTCTACCATTGAGGACTTTATCTAGAGTGAATGGCTACACAGCAAGATTGAACTTTCCTTACTTCTTGAGGATTCTTTTATGGTCATTGTTTGTTTGGTTGTTCGATGTCAAGCTACACGAGGCAGAGAATGAGTCTCTTTCCAGTTATAAGAACTTTCGGAGTCTTTTTAAGAGAAGACTAAAACCTGGTCTTAGACCTATCAATATGTCCTCTGGACTTGTAAGTATATTTAAATGCTCCATGATATTCCCATTAAATATATACTCTCTCTCTCTCTCTCTCTCTCTTAGGTGTCACCAGTTGATGGTAAAGTAATGTATGTTGGTACACTCACTGACGATTACAATACAATTGAGCAGGTCAAAGGTGTCCAGTACTCCTTAAAAGCGTTCCTTGGTAGAGGTGTATTACCGAGATATGGCCGATCTAACGGGATGGTACTACACACTGCAGTTCTGTACCTCTCGCCTGGCGATTATCATCACTTTCATTCTCCTGCTGATTGGAGGCTTCACTTGTATAGACACTTTCCAGGTATGGAAACATTCCATAGAGGAAAAAGGTCCTCATTCCTATGTTAATACTTTCATGTTTTGACCTAAAAATTTATTATGTCACTATAAAGATCACAGCACTCACAAATTCAATTTTTACTCCACTTCACTCTCCCACTTTTCTCTAGGGGAGCTAGTGACAGTGTCCCCGTGGGCAGTTAAGCACATGCCTGGGCTGCTAGCGTTGAATGAGAGGGTTTTGTTATCGGGTCAATGGGAGCACGGATACTTCTCTCTCACTGCAGTAGGCGCTCTTAATGTTGGATCAATATACATTGATAAATATGAGGTAGGTATGCATGGTTCTGCCTATGGTGGTCGGGGGTGGTCGGGACAACCACCTCAACAAATTTTCCAACCAGTTCATCACTTAGACCAACCATCCAATTAATACTAATAACCATACATAAAGCATGATATTGTAGTCTACTAGTATGGTGTACATAAATTTAAAAGGAACAATATTAGTCTCCAACCACCTCTAATTTTTTTATAGGCAGAACCCTGGGTATGATAAATGACATTGAAATGCATGTCAAAATAATTATAATGAACATAATAATGTCTTTTATGCTTGGCAGTAGTGGAGGATGTTACTCTACTGACATATGAAGTGTCATTCAATTTTTAAAGGAATAATAATTATTTAAGGAATAAATCAAGTCCTTTATTTGATTGGTTCTAGGGTTTATAAAAACTATTGATAGCATCAAAGAGAAGAGAGGATAAGGGAGAGAGGGGGAGGGAGTAGGGATAGGGATGAAAAGGACATAATGAGTAGTGACAAGAAAACCAATGATTCTATATACATGTAGTATCTTTCTGACTTCAAGATTATTATTATAATATTGATAGTTTAAGAAATTTCATTAGCAGTGCTGTGTGTGGTGTCATATCCATTCCATTAGAATCGTCATGGCAACAGTATAACGTAGTGATTGTTCTAATTTTTAAAAAATGATAATTTACAATTAGAGTAGAGAGCAGTTACACTCCATCACTTTCTCACAGTACAAATATTCTTTCATCTACTTGTATGTGTACTATAGTATGGTATGTGTGCCTAATAGACCAATGACACTTACATCCAAGATTTTCATAATATACCACTCATAGTTACCACTCATAGTTACCACAGGTATCTATCATCATAGGTATAGTCAATTGTACAAATGTTAGCATAAATAGCATTAGATATCAAAATATATATTTAAAATTGGAGATGTTTTGAAGCTATTTTTTGGGAAAAAGCATTGACTACAGCCTATTATGATATGTGTATAAACTTGAGAGAATTGTGGAGCATGTATTTAACATTGCACAGTCACGTCCGTCAGATCATAATTAATCTATTTATCTTTATTTCATCTTTTTAGGAATTAAAGACAAACGTTAAAGGACACTACAAGTTTAATACATACACAGACAAGCACCTGGGTAAAGTAGGAGACCAGCTGGTCAGAGGAGATCACATTGGGGGCTTCAACATCGGCTCCACTGTTGTCCTAATATTCGAAGCTCCTTCTAGCTTCCAGTTTAACATTAAACCGGGAGATTCTGTAAAATATGGAGAGTCTATAGGAACCATTTAATAACTTATCATAATTGCAATTAGTATGAGTTATTATTGTGTCATTCGTTATTGCATGTGTGTGTGTGTGTGTGTGCATGTGTATACATCAATCACTTTAGTCTACACCTTTAATTAAAGCACAGATCAATATTGCGATTAGCTAATTATTCAATTTATACAACTAAAGAAAGAATGAATTGGCAATTGGCAAACTTTTGGAGCAAGTTTAAAATTTTCTAAAAACATCCAATTGTGCTCAAACTTCATGCATAGTATAAAAACATGCATTTTGTATTAGTAAATAAAAATGGCTCGGCATTTTTTTGGATGAAATTTGGCCAGGATCATAAATTTTGAATTCATAAAAAATTCAATTTTGATCAGAATTAATTCAAACTTTCTACACAACATAAGCACGTGTATTCGTATAAAATAAAATTATAAAAATAAAAAAATTCTCTCCTTTTCAAATTTGGCCAAGTGCCTTGAACTGTACCCTGTATAAGGTACAAAACAGGGACTTGGACCCAATTTCGGAGCAACTTTAAAAAATCATAAAAAAATTCAAACTTGGTCGGGATTAGTTCAAACTTCCTACACAACATAAGTAGACATATATGTATCAGATAAAACAATAAAAATAGAGAATTCTCTTGTTGCAAAATTTGGTTCGAAACTATGTTATGGTACCGGCACTTTGGCCTGATTTTGAGCAGCTTTAAAAAATTCATAAAAATTCAATTTTAATTCGAATCAATTCAAACTTCCTACATGATATAAGTACATGTATATGCATCCGATAAAATTATAAAAATAAAGAATTCTCTTCTTTTCAAATTTGATAAAATGTGGCCAAAACCCCTTACAGAACAGGGGTTGGTCATAACAAGTAAACATGATTGTTTTTTTATAAAAAATTTCTCTTAATAAAACAGCAGTTACGGCATCCAGAGCATTTAGTTTGAATTACAAAAATTTTAGCCCCAGATTTGTCACCCACCCTAACAATCATTATACCAGACATAATACTAGCAATAATGATTCCTACTATTTGCTGGCAGCATGGCTTATATAATTATATGCAATTAATGCTAGCACTTCCTTGTGAAGCTATAACAAAAACTGCATTCAACAACTTCAAATTAAATGACTATTTTAGGTAGTTACTGCCAGTGACAGGTCTATTAAATCATCCTCCCATTTATAGCTAGAGTGTATGGACACTGTGGATCTTATAAGGCATCCATACTATGAGCAACCATTCACATGAAAACACCAGCTTGTTAGGGACGCCTCCACAAGCTGTTAAATACATTAGGTGCTAGTGTGTGTAAGTGGGAAGCACTATTATATTCTTTTTGTGTGACCCACGGATGTTCACCCACCATTTACTTTATTATACTGACATGGAGCCTACACAAAGACCAGCTAGTAAACATCATCCAATAGTAAGAAACACATTTCTTAAACTACTACACTTAAACTTCATATGCCCTACTCAATCATGAAGTTAAACTTAATTTGCATGACATATTTTATCCATATATTCTTAAGACAATAGACTCAATGCATGTTTGTAAGAAAACAAATTTCTATGCTAACTTGTAAGCTCGAATGCATTCTCCTGTAGTAGTGAACATTCCACGAGTCACTTTGTTGTTTTAAATACAAGAGATAGTATACACCTGCCAATGTGACTCCTCTGCATAACTTGTCCATTACGTGATGTAAGGGAGTCTTGGGGAGACAGGAGAAAGGTCACTGACACTTGTTACAGTCAAAATGTCATAGTTACTACACTATGCTATGCATGTTCAATTATATGCTATATATATGTGTAATTCTGTTAGTGCTTAATACATCAATACACCTGGCATCCAGCCACCTTAAGAAGCCAAACAGTTCTGATCAGGATTATACCACTTCCTTTAGCATGCTATAAAGCTACAGGCAGTTGAAGCGTCTGTAAATTGTCAGAGAAAGTGCTAGTATTTCTTCATAATGGACTCCACCATACTCTACAAGTTTGCTAAGAGGCTGAACAGACCTTATTCAAGATACAAGACAGCAGCAGAATGTCCTCCTAATTGCAGCACTGCTGAAACAGGCCCCAGTGAAAACCAAGTGGCTAGTGAGCCAGTATATCAAGAGATTACTGACATGAAAGGTACAGAATGGATGGGGGCATGCATGGCTTGGTATTCTTTATAAAATATACATATGACACTACTATTGAAACTGATTATACTCAAACTGTTTATAAATTGCTGCTAGCTTTATAAAAATAATATTTTTTATAGTCGATGCCAGAATGAAAAAATCACCGCCAACCTCCACGTCTTCTATCAGAGAAAAACCCGAAAAACCAGCACCGTATAGTGGAACGCTCATCAAGAGATCTCTAGACATGAGTGATGGAGATATCAAGAGTCCTGTCAGCTATAGGGATCGCTCCAAGTCATCAAGTCATCTTGAGGACAGGATCACAAGTCAAATTATAATAACAAACAACAGAGCTTCGTCAGTTAGCAGGTATAGTGCACAGTCACTCCATAGCGTGCAGTCTGTTCAAAGCCTAAGTCCTTCAATGTCCAGTACATCTTCTTCAGTGTTCAATGGACATGAAAGACTGCCAGAGATGCCTGGGAGTACAGCAATACAGAAAGTGAGAGAGAGTGGGCCAGAAACACAGGAAACTGCTTGTTTACAAAGGGAGAAGAATATATCAAGCAATTCCTTACTGTCCAGTGAAAGTGCTGCCCCTTTGCCTATAAACAAGCAAGTAAAAGCTACAGCTAAGCAGAAAGAAGAAGAAGAGAAGAAAGAAGGAAAGAAGACAGCCATGGATGGCAGTACAGAATCAGAGCTCTATGTCTTCATGGCAGCCACAGATTCCATCAGAGAGTCAATCTCCTCTCCTCATCTACTAGAGGACAACATGTATGTGACAATGACCCCAGTATCACACAGGAGACCAATGAGAAAAGAGTCTAAAGTCCACGAGTACTACAATGTCCTCCACAATGATAGAATAGGTCACAGCCTACCAGATCTAGTGGTCAAACAAACTTCGATAGAACTCTCTGAAGACGACGAAAAACTCGAAAAGACACCAGCACCACCGACAAATAATCCACTAGGCCTCTACGAGGAGGTCGATTACACTCGCCCTGTACCTCCGCCAAGACGTAAGAAACTTATGAAGTTACAAAGTCAAACGATGAAGGTCTCAGAGCATTCTCCGAGTCCAGCTAGACTGAGTGTTGCGATAATACCACCAAAGGAGGAGTCCCCTCAACCAAACAGGTACACATATAGCTCCGACTCACGAAACAGCTTTATACGAAAAAGAACATCAACAATGCCTCACAAAAACTCTCCGAACAGACAGAGAAGACCCATCGGGATGGTTTTCAACGACATAGTCATCTCGGAGGATTTAGAAAAAGAAATATCAGTATCGCCGCAGTCACCAGTTTCATAATCATCACAAAGAAACACACATCACATCACTACTTAAGAATGCAAATATAACCGAGTATTGGCAGACACACACTAAACCCAGCAGTGATTCTGTTGACAAAACAGGATTTATAAACGCAATTAATCACTTTTGACAGCCCTAGCCAACTCAAGTCCATGTACAATTGTACATACACTTCACGTACTAGCTTGTATTAACATTAAAAACATGTTTCTCTGTCCTCCATACGTAATAATAATAATACTTCAAATAAAATTTAATTCGTTTTTAATTATCTTTATATATGTAATATGTATTATAAAATGTTTTTGAAATGCTTCAATGGCTTGCAAAGGCTGGCTAATAGCTGCTATGTAATAACAAAACCCTCTTGTCTCCATTCAAGACGGAGCCTGTGTAATCCCGTTAGCCAAAGACACGCTTGACAATTAGCTTCGCAATTACGCTTCATAATGAAACATTAATTTGATGACTCCGTGTAGCCTTGGCAGAGAGGAGCACAATGTTTGTAGCAATTGTTATTAAAGGAATTAAACCAAATACAAATATCAGACGAGATGTCTTTCTCACTCATGGATGGCAATGCATACATGTATACCATAATCACATAAGGTGATATGATGCAGTGAAAATGTCCACTACATGTACAGGACCTATTACGCAGTGTTATTATAAGCCCAACAGTCACGCTTGATGTTTCATCAATAGTCATCCAAATTCAGTAACACTGGCCAATCCTGTTTACTAAAGGATTGTTTGTCTTCCCTAAGGTGAATGTTCCATCCTTACTAGGTCATTTCCCTTGAATTATCAAGAAAATCCTTGAAATGCAGTTCATCCTTTAGTCTGAATTACAACATAGTAAGCTTTAACCACATATCCTGTTTTGGAGGACACACACAAAGACTTGGTTATTATGGGAAGCATGTGATCTTGAGTGTACTACGTGTCATCATCAACCATGATGTCATAGCTACATGAATGAAACAGAAGCAGAACTATTGATGATCAATTTGTAACTGGATGTACATATACTGGGTTCACACATAAAACAAAACACAATAATAATAATAACAATAATATAATTATTATTACTTAATTTTATTCCTATTTTTTCATTTCTCATCCTGTCCTAACTTTGTCCCCCCCCCCCCAAATACAAATAATCCCATCTGTTTTGGATGGCCAGTCCTTTGTTTTGTCTTTTGCCTTTTTGTGTTTTGTTTTCTCTTATTTCTTGTTTTGTCCTTCGTGCATTTCATTGTGTATGCCCGTGTGTTGTGTTGGGTTGTAATGCGCTTTGTCTTTCTTCATAATAATACTAATAATAATAATAAAGGAACTAAGAATGAATTTAAAATATAATCTTCAAGAGCAATAACAAGTTAATGACTAATTTCTATTAATCTACTTGTTTTTGAAACCTTTCAAGTCAGTTCTGTTAGAGTGTAGCGGGACTCCTAAAGGATCCTTCTTGACTAAAATGGGATCTTTGATGACATTCTCCATGAAAACCTTATACTCTTCCGTAAAATATCGATCAGACTCGAAAACCTTTTCCGTCACGTCCGACAGCTTCACTAAAATGTCATCTCCTTCGATTCTAACGGAATGAGTCCGCTGCTTCACTCCTTTAGAGCAGTTGTGTTTTATGTTACGAGGATTAAAAGGATCAATGGCGGTATAAAGACTCTCGCCAGTGTCTAGCGTAATACTGTGTTTGTGCCATGGACAGATGATACACATACGACCATGTGAGTCCTATTTAAGAAAATATAATCATATTAACCACATGTAATTGTTTTCACTGAAACACGAACTTGAGTAATTATCGGGAGTTATTTAAGGAGTGTAGTTACAAGCCTCCTACATGTGGATAGTAGCATAGCCACTTCATAAGGTAATTGATGTTTTCGTGTTGTCATAAAATTACAATTATGAAGTATGCGCTACAAATCACGCCAATATTTTAAATTTATAATACTTAGCGTCATGTCATGGACTCATGACCATCAATGATATTAGGTAATACGATATCAAGAATCAAAACTGGTGCATAATACATGTACTTATGTAACTGATGCCAACAAATATCTTTCAAGTCATCAGCATTAATTTTAAAATGAGCTAATTTTTGAAAAAGCAAAGGCTATGCCCATGGTTTTCTCTAAAAAATGGCTCCAAAATCACCCTAATTTTTTCTCACGTTTTCTGATACACATTGATGTCCTTATGCTGTGTAGAAAATTTGAGCTGATTCCAACTTCAATTTTTCAAGTTATGGCCATTTTAAGAAAACGTCAAAATTCTGAAAAATACCCAAGGCTATAGCCCATGGTTTTTTCCAAAAAATGGCTCCGAAATGACCCCAAATTTTTATTACATTTTCTGATACATATTGATGTCCTTATGCTGTGTAGCAACTTTGAACTGATTCTGACTTCAATTTTTCAAGTTGCGACCATTTTAAGAAAACGTCAAAATTCTGAAAAATACCCAAGGCTATAGCCCATGGTTTTTTCCAAAAAATGGCTCCGAAATCACCTCAAATTTTTATTACATTTTCTGATACATATTGATGTCCTTATGCTGTGTAGCAAGTTTGAACTGATTCCGACTTCAATTTTTCAAGTTACGGCCATTTTAAGAAAACGGCAAAATTCTGAAAAATACCCAAGGCTATAGCCCATGGTTTTTTCCAAAAAATGGCTCCGAAATCACCTCAAATTTTTATTACATTTTCTGATACATATTGATGTCCTTATGCTGTGTAGCAAGTTTGAACTGATTCCGACTTCAATTTTTCAAGTTACGGCCATTTTAAGAAAATGCTACAATTCTGAAAAATACCCAAGGCTATAGCCCATGGTTTTTTCCAAAAAATGGCTCTAAAATCACCCCAAATTTTTATTACATTTTCTGATACATATTGATGTCCTTATGCTGTGTAGCAAGTTTCAGCTGATTCCGACTTCAATTTTTCAAGCTACGGTCATTTTAAGAAAATGCTAAAATTCTGAAAAATACCCAAGGCTATAGCCCATGGTTTTTCCCAAAAATTGGCTCCAAAATCACCTCAATTTTTTATTACATTTTCTAATACAGTAATAGTATAAAACCAACACTTTTAACATATCTGACAAATAGATTCTGAGAAGTACTACTCACTTCAATATCTCCAAGGGACAAAGGTCCTCCAGTATCTATAAAAAAAGTCATTATACATATAACTCACAATTTTGATCTCAATTTTTTTGCATAAATCAGTTTACTGTCAACTTACGATAGCAGAAATGATCCAAAGCGTAGACCTGCCCGTTTGCATAAAATAAAGCCAATACTCTGTCCGAGACAGTCACTCTTTGCTTTCTTGAGGACTTCAAATCGCTTAATTTCCCTGCAAATACATACTCACTCTGAGCTGCCATTTACGTGGGAGTGGCTGCTAATGAAATTAAGGTGTGGCTAGTTATAAACTAAACTGAATCACGTGATCCCAGTTATACTTGATCTTATTTGATGGTGGCATGTGCTTTTGCTGTCTCTCTTTATTAGGGTAAAGCAAGCACCTTTAGCTCACCAAATGATATGAAAACAAGTTTGAGTCCACTTTAGGACAATGATATCTTTGCCTTGTTTTTTAATTCCTTATATAAATCAGGGAATGATGACAAGAAGGTAATGCACTTGAGCTTCCATTAAAGAAGCCATGATAGTCATTAATTCTTCACTTTGACCTGACCCTGATTAAATTTACCGTCTAATAGTCATATTGATGAAGCACAATCAAGTTATGCAAAGTGAATGATACATGAGTTAGTAAGGTTTATCTATTGCCGGCCTTGGTAGAGTCGAGCTGACTTATTAATATCATCAGTATATTCATGACACTAGCTTTGTTTTGATAGCAAGATCCATCACACCATTTCCTCCCCTCTCTGTAATTAGTTATGGCTTCCCTATTGTATAGACCACTGGATCTTGTCATAGTCATCATACTGGGCTCATTCTTAGCTATTGGATTGACAATAGGTAAGCAACCCTAAACAACATTACACAACCATTATATTGACATATTGCTTCCCCTTCCAAGATTACATTCAAACATTCTACGGCTCAATACAAAGTGAAGACGATATTGTTTATGGGGTGTGGCCCCCTCCGCCAGTGTTGAAGTCTTATGCATGGTGGTGTTCAAATGTCGATACACTCTTGGCAGTTAATCCATCTTGGTATGCTAAAACTAATAACAATAATTGATTACACCTGCTAATTATGTATCGTTACTTTAGGTATAGCGTAATGGCTGCTTTTAGCCCTTTTATATATTGTCCTTTCTATGTAGCAGCTATTTATGCTTTCATATTTGAAAAGGAATGGATTAGGATTCCAGGTAAGTAGATTAATAATGAATAAATAAGTACACTATTCTATCCCTCTCTCTTTCCTGTTCTATGTAGCATTAATGTGGGGATGGGGTCTTCTTCTCACTATGATCATTGTAGCTCATGAGCAGCTGTATGGACCACATCCAGCAAAAGATGTGACTCTGTTCTTTATTGCTTATGGGGCATATGCTGTAATGCCATTGGTCATAATGGGACGCGTTGCTATGACACCACTGTTTCCAAAATTAACACAAATCAAGCCACCCAGCCCACAACAACGGTCTGGTGGTAAAAAGAAAAAGAATTAAATGAATTTACTTTTTTGATAATGATTTTTGAGCTGATTAGAGAATTGATTGATTATATAATGTTTGTCCAAGCTTAGAGCTTATTATATATAAGTTTTGTCCAAGCTTAGAGTGTGACGTGTGGTCCTTAGAAATTCAAGTCTTCTGGAGGGAGCAAGTCGGGCTTCACAACTTTGATACTAAACTGGGAACTCTATAAAAGAGCATGTGGTTGCAATGTAGCAGTTAGTAATATACAATGTCTTACTTCATTTCCTAGTGTAGTGTCCATCCCTAGGTTACGAGCAATGGCTTGAATGCACTTAATCTCTTCTTGACTGGTACCAATTGGTAATACTAACTCACACATTGAATGATTATTATTGAACTGCCTATAAGGAAAAACACCATCAATAATAAAAGTCTTACTAAGGCTGGTTCCCATAAAGCCATGGATGTTGTATAAAATGAATTAAGAGAAAATTGTGCTGTTGTAGGGGCTGTATGCCTAGTGTATGGAAATCATGTCTTTATGCATAGTGCTCATTAGTTAATTAAGGTGGTATATAATAGTTTTCCTTACTCTAATTTCTCTGTAAGTGCAGCTTTTACTTCTTCAGAGACAGTTAATTCTTCCTCCCCTTCTTGATACAATGATGAATCAGTCTCAGGATCTGTATGGTATATCATAAAGAAAGGACTATAGTACTAAGAGTCATTTACTGATAATACCTGAAGAGGCTCCATTAGCATCTGATTGGAACATACGCGAGTATAATCCTCTCTCCATCACTTCAAATTCACGAATTTTACTGCAAGAAAATTAAAATAAAACTAATATATAATTATTTCAATACTAATAAAGCCTCTAATTTTGACTTTAAAATGTGATAAGCAATTCCATAATTTCCATTTTTGTACTGTCAGAATTTACTGATGTTTTAACATTAAAAATGAATAATACATTTATACTTTTAATGCACAGCACATGCACAATGGTTGCATGTACTTTTGCATGTGCAGGATACATGCTGAAGGCGTGGCTGCATGCAAACCACCGCAAACCCGCCAAAACAGGAGCGAGAAGAAAAGAAAACCTCGAAGACGACAAGATGCCGTTGTCTTTATGTCTCCTTCTTGTAGCTGCCCTTTATCCTGCCAGTGCTTCCGGTCCCTGCTACGATTATCAAGACGCTACCTACAAGGCTCAGTTCGACCCGACAGATTGCAACGCAGAGTGCACGGTGACTCCATTCTTTTCTCCTGATCATTCTGTGACGGCTTATGTAGAAGTGATCAAGGCAGCAGAGGAGAGCATAGATCTACTGGAACCAGGTAACAGTGCGCGGGGACACATTAAATTAGTAAAATCAAGATGGTAGCTTCTTTGTTGTGACTGCTGCTGCACGTGAAGGTCACAAAACCAATGGAATGTGTAATGATCTTTTATCTCGTTTTTGTTATTACAAATGATAAAAAACATCAAGATAAATATATATACTATTGAGCCTAAACAAAACATACTAACATAACAATAAATAATACAAGTTTTAAAATGCATCTTGGCGTAACCTTTTTTTAAATTTTTGCAGATTTTAAAAGTTGGGGCGAGTGTACCAAGTACAAATCTGAATGTGGCGGTCAATGCATTGGTTGTAGTCCAGAGGAACAAGCAACAGAGCCATTCCCAATCTTTGGTACTCTCATGAATGCACTCCACGCCTCCAAAAAAAAGCTCCAAATTCGTTTCCTCACAAATAATTTTGACGTACCCACCTGCTCCAACCTGACCACACCCGTTGACTGGATGTACCTCAATGGTGTCGCCATAAGGAACTACAAAACGACGACGTTCCAACATGCTAAATTCATGATCATAGACAAAGGAAAGAAAGTCCTGATATCCTCGGTTAACTTTAGCCAGACTTCTTTTACAAAGAACAGAGAAGCGGGTGTTATTCTAACCGACTGTCAATGTCCTTTAATTGACTTCTATCAGCGTGTTTTCGACAGTGATTGGGACACAGGCTACGATTATAAACTATCAACAACTTACAGTTCGAACAATAAGAAATACATTACTTATGATAGAGTCATACCCACTAATGACATGGGACCGTTCCCTGTCACCGGTGCCTATGTCACCGATATGACGGACGTTGAGGGTGTGACAGTGGTCAATGGTTACACAGCACCGGATAACGCTCGGGACACTTTCATGAATGGCCTGGATTCGGCAAAAGAGTCTTTAAAGATCCACATTTATCAGATAACAGACGATGGTATTTGCGATAAGGTTCTTGATTTATACAAAAATGGCATCAACGTTACACTCTTGGTTGGGTCTTACATTGTTAGTTACATTGACTATGAGAGGGCACAGGTGAGCAATATTTATAATTAATAATTTTAAATTTTATTTTTATTTTAGGATTGTTATTGTAAACTCTACAAAGGTGGTCTGAAGGGACACATAAAAAAGTCTTATTCAAAATTCAAATTCTCTCATCAAAAGTATTGGATTATTGATGAAACTACGGTCCACCTTAGCACTGGTAGAACACACATACTAACATACACACATATCTACATACATTATTCATATACACAGAGTTACTAATACTTAGCAATAGCACTAATAAGTATGCCAGTACATTTATGCTTGATCTGGCAATAGCTTATAATAATGCTACACCTAACACACCCACCAGTGGCTGATATAGTGCATCAATGAAAATCATTATCAATTCAACGAGGGAATCAGCACTACAATGTCTCACTACTTGACAGTTTAAATAATGATACACTATATCTCACTCATACTGTATTACATGTAAACAATCTGATAACACATACACACAAGGAGTATCCTTATAGAGTCTTCTCTCTGTCTTTCCTCTCTCTCTACCTCCCTGTCTCCTCTCTCCCTTTCTCCCCCTCCCTCCCTCTCTCTCTTTCTCCTCTCTCCCTTTCTCCCCCCTCTCACCCTCCCTCCTTCCCTCTCTCCTCAGGTAATTGGAGTCCAAGTGATTTCCCTGAAGGAAGTACATTCCCTCCTTATGCTAAGTCAAGGAGTTCTGTCAATCGTGACATGTTGGTAGTAATGAAGAGCCCAAAGGTTGTTGCCATATTTGAGGAAGTGTTCACTAATGATTGGAACGTTGGGACTCCGTGGGAACCAAAGCCCGGGAAATGCTGAAAACTAGTTTTCTTTGTTGAGTGACTAAAGCTGTAGACACTATAGTACAAATACATTAGTGCTAATCTAAGATTCATTGCTATTTCTATTTCTATTATTATTCTTTATAAAATACATTTATATGTAATAGGTCATCATAATATTATGAAATGGAGGAGAGCTGTTATTGTATGTGAGTCAAAAAGGAAGTGGCATTGCCTTAGAAGTCATGTTATCTGTTAGCTTACGATCAATTCACATACATAAGTACCTGTAAACATATGCCTAATGAATACTTTCAACTTTGTTACATAAATTGTTAATACACCAAACATTTATAGGCACTTTCAATAGCAATGTATTACAGCATTGGTCTGTAGTTTTAAAAATGTCATGTATATTGTAAAAAAACATTGCAGATAACAGATAATGTTGCAGTGCTAATATAAACTCAAATAAATTAAATAGAGCTTTAGATAACCATAAGCAGTGCTAGAGAAGAGTGTTATAACTGATAATGTTAATGTAAGCTTAACTATAATTATTTTCCTAGTCACTTATTGTATTATTATTATTATGATTTTTCATGATTATTATTTTCTGTACTTATTTTCATTCATTATGTAAGGTTATATGATGCATGATATGTTGATTTCTTTCTAGTGTTATGTAATGTTATGCAAGATGTTTCTGTGATGTATTTAAGTGAGTGCTTGTTCAGTTTTAAGAAGTTTTTAACTTATTGATAAAATAGTTCGTTGATTCTTGTGAGACCTCTCTTTACCTTTCCTTCTCAGTCACTACGAAAAGATAGAAAACAAGACAATGTCAAAAAGCTTTCAAAGTGAAGCTAAGGATTTCAATGAAGAAATGAAGCTAACACAAAACACAGCCTATGAAGCAGTAGTAAAGACTGATACTAGTACTGAAGAAGCAATGTACTCAGATCTTCATGACTACTCAGGTATATACCATACAAGTAATTTATTATTAAAACTAATGTATGATATATTCATTAGATCATCAGCTACCAAAAGCTAATGTTAAGGATACCAAACCTCCTCAACAACCAGTGCAGTATACTGTAGGAAAGAAGTCATTTGCTGCAATAATAATTCTACTGGTGATCATAATATTCCTATTGGTAGCTATACTTGTACTTAACTTAATATCAAAAGATACCTTCATGAGTACATGTACAAGTGATACAAGCAGTAATAGTGCTGGCCTCACTAATAGTGGTAATACTGCTATTAACAGTAACCTGTCACTGATACAGGATACAATGAATAGCATAATTCAACAGATTATGGTACATGCTAATAATACCAACAGGTCTACAGATGAACTACTTCAATTACTGAACACTAGTCTTATTAAAGATATCAGTATACCAACTGCTGCTGCTGTTAATGATGTACTACTAATAGTCAATGAACTACAGAATGGGTCCTTTTTGTTTAATTCCATTCGACCTGTTTCTTGTAAAGATATTAAAGTAGCTCATCCCAACAATCCTTCTGGTTACTATCATGTTAACAGTCGCAATATGTACTGCAATATGGGAGAGCTGTGTGGACAAGATGGAGGATGGACAAGAATAGCTTATCTTGATACGACTATGAACTGTCCTTCTGGACTTCAAAAATTGATGACTGGAGGCATTAGAGTTTGTAGGAGAGAGGGTAATTCTGCTGGTTGTAGGTCTAATGTATTCCAAACAAATGGTATCAGTTATAGTCAAATATGTGGTAAAGTGGTTGGATATCAAAAGGGAACAACTGATGCTGTTCGAACTAACAACAATAATATTGATAGTGCTTATCTTGATGGAGTCAGTATCACACGTGGGTCACCTCGTCAACATGTCTGGTCTTATATGGCTGGGCATCAGTCAAATATCAATTCAAGTAAATCCTGTCCTTGCAATACTGGAGCAACTAATCCAGTTCCACCATTTGTAGGAGAGCACTACTATTGTGAGTCAGGTATAAATGGTAATCCAAATGGTAACTCCATTTATATTGCTGATCCATTGTGGGATGGAAATAACTGTCCTTCATATGAAGCTCCTTGTTGTAATGGTACTGGTCTTCCATGGTTCTTCAGAGATTATGGTAATGCTACCATTACTGATTACATTGAACTGAGGGTGTGTGGGAATGAGGTATGGAGCAATGAAGATACTCCAGTTCAATTGTATGAGATTTATGTCAAGTAAAGGAACAATTAATAATTATAAGTAGTGCATTGTCTTTGTTAGTAGTTAGTTTTATAGAACATTGTCATTAGTAAAACACATAATAATTATTATCAAGAGTAAATAATCATTACCTATTCTATCTTGTTATTAGTGTGTAAACAATAGTGAAAAGTGAAAGTAGAGATATCATAATTCATAATATTCTTTGAGTGAGTTATACAACAAAAAATTTAACAATAAATAGGACACTTCAGCTATTTTTATTATTATACTATTATTAATACTCAGCTTTGTTTGTCGTATAATTTACACAAAGAATATCATAGATTATAAACACAACAAGGAACCTGAAGGATATTATTATAGAGATATCACAAACTACAATACTTTGACACGGTATTTATAATGAAAACAAATGTGCTGTTATTCATTAATAGTGCCAATATAAACACAAATAAAATTATATAATAAATAGAGCTTTAGATAACCATAAGCAGTGCTAGTGAAGAGTGTTGTAACTAATAATGTTAATGTAAGCTTAATTATAATTATTTTTTAGGCACTTATTGTATTATTATTATCATGATTTTCCTGATTATTATTTTCTGTACTTATTTTCATTCATTATGTAAGGTTATATGATGTATGCAATGTTGATTTCTTTCTAGTGTTATACAATGTTATGCAAGATGTTTCTGTGATGTATTTAAGTCAGTGCTTCTTTAGTTTTAAGAAGTTTTTAACTTATTGATAAAATTGTCCGTTGATTCACGTGAGACCTCTCTTTACTTTTTTTCTCGGTCACTACTGTACAAAGAAATGGAAAACAAGACAATGTCAACAAGCTTTCAAAGTGAAGCTAAGGATTTCAATGAAGAAATGAACCTAACACAAAACACAGCCTATCAACCAGTAGTAAAGACTGATACTAGTACTGAAGAAGCAATGTACTTAGATCTTCTGGACTACTCAGGTATATACCATACAAGTAATTTATTATTAAAACTAATGTATGATATATTCATTAGATTATCAGCTACCAAAAGCTAATGTTAAGGATACCAAACCTCCTCAACAACCAGTGCAGTATATTGTAGGAAAGAAGTCATTTGCTGCAATAATAATTCTACTGGTGATCATAATATTCCTATTGGTAGCTATACTTGTGCTTAATTTAATATCAAAAGATACCTTCATGAGTACATGCACATGTGATACAAGCAGCAATAGTGCTGGCCTCACTAATAGTGGTAATACTGCTATTAACTGTAACCTGTCACTGATACAGAAAAATGTGGAGGATATAAAGGAACAGATTAATGAGCAAAATGTTAACAGTAACTTCTCACTAATACAGAACACAATGAATAACATAATTCAACAAATTATGGTACATGCTAATAATACCAACAGGTCTACAGATGAACTACTTCAATTACTGAACACTAGTCTTATTAAAGATATCAGTATACCAACTGCTGCTGCTGTTAATGATGTACTACTAATAGTCAATGAATTACTAGAGATACAGAATGGATCCTCTACTCAAACTATTTCATGCAAAGTTATTAAAGCAGCTCATCCCAACAGTCCTTCTGGTTACTATCATGTTAATGGTCACAATACATACTGCAATATGGGAGAGCTGTGTGGACAAGATGGAGGATGGACAAGAATAGCTTATCTTGATATGACTATGAACTGTCCTTCTGGACTTGAGGAATTGATGACTGGAGGCATTAGAGTTTGTAGGAGAGAGGGTAATTCTGCTGGTTGTAGGTCTAACATATTCCAAACAAATGGTATCAGTTATAGTCAAATATGTGGTAAAGTGGTTGGATATCAAAAGGGAAGAACTGATGGAGTCAACACTAACAATATTAATAAACCTTATATTGATGGAGTCAGTATCACACGTGGGTCACCTCGTAAACATGTCTGGTCTTATATAGCTGGAATAAGGTCTGATGTCAATACAGGTCCTACCTGTCCTTGTAATACTGGAGCAACTAATACAGTTCCATCATTTGTAGGAAAGAACTACTATTGTGAGTCAGGTAGAAATGGTAGTCATCCTAGTACTAACTCCATTTACACTGCTGATCCATTGTGGGATGGGAATAACTGTCCTTCAAAAGAAGCTCCTTGTTGTACTGGTACTGGTCTTCCATGGTTCTTCAGAGATTATGGTAATGCTACAATTACTGATTACATTGAACTGAGGGTGTGTGGGAATGCAGGATATGCAGATGAAGATACCCCAGTTCAATTGTATGAGATTTATGTCAAGTAAAGGAACAATTAATAATTATAAGTAGTGCATTGTCTTTGTTAGTAGGTAGTTTTATAGAACATTGTCATTAGTAGAGACATGTAATTAATTATTATTTTGTAAAAAAAATCATAACTAACATTTTAAAGAGCCAGATATTATAAACTACATACCTTGACTCGCTTTTTATAATGAAAACAAAATGTGCTGTTGTTCATTAACAACTATAAATACAAAAATGAAATTATATAAAGAGCTGTAGATAACCATAAGCAGTGCTAGTGAAGAGATGGAAAACTAGACAATGTCAACAAGCTTTCAAAGTGAAGCTAAGGATTTCAATGAAGAAATGAAGCTAACACAAAACACAGCCTATCAACCAGTAGTAAAGACTCATACTAGTACTGAAGAAGCAATGTACTCAGATCTTCATGACTACTCAGGTATATACCATACAAGTAATTTATTATTAAAACTAATGTATGATATATTCATTAGATTATCAGCTACCAAAAGCTAATGTTAAGGATACCAAACCTCCTCAACAACTAGTGCAGTATACTGTAGGAAAGAAGTCATTTGCTGCAATAACAATTTGACAGTGACCGACTGAGACACAGGCTACGATTAAAAACTCTCAACAACTTACAGTTCCAACAATAAGAAATACATTACTTACGATAGAGTGATACCCACTAGTGACATGGGACCGTTCCCTGTCACTGGTGCCTATGTCACCGATATGACGGACGTTGAGGGTGTGACAGTGGTCAATGGTTACACAGCACCGGATAACACTCGGGACACTTTCATGAACGGTCTGGATTCGGCAAAAGAGTCTTTAAAGGTCCACATTTATCAGATAACAGACGATGGTATTTGTGATAAGGTTCTTGATTCATACAAAAATGGTGTCACCATTACACTCTTGGTTGGGTCCTACATTGCTAGTTACATTGACTAT